AATATTATCACCCCTGAAGAAGCCTCGGAATTGACGTTCTATGGCTCAGAAGTCATCCATCCGTTTACAATGGAACAAGTTATTCGTGCTCAGATCCCTATCCGTATAAAAAACGTCATGAACCCAACGGGATCAGGCACTATTATCTTTCCAGATCAGTCTGGTGAAATGACACCTAGTGGTCGTATGACCCCACCACCATCCTCAAAGGTTTTGCTAGAGAATGGATACCAATTAGATCTTTCGAGAAGACATCCTACAGCAGTGACGATCAAAGACAATGTTTGGGTACTCAATGTTCATTCAAATCGCAAATCGGTCTCACATGGCTTTTTTGCACAGATCTTTGAGACACTGGACAAACATGGTATTGCAGTCGATCTGATCTCGACTTCGGAGGTACATGTCTCTATGGCCCTGGAGGCCGGTGTGAACGAGAAAGAGATGGCCAAGGCAATGCAACAATTAAAGGGCATTGGAACAGTTGATGTGACTAAAGGAATGGCTATCTTGTCGCTGGTCGGCAAGCAAATGAAAAACATGGTCGGCATTTCCGGACGGATGTTTTCGACATTGGCTTTGGCAGGGATCAATATCGAAATGATTTCACAAGGTGCATCAGAAATCAATATCTCTTGCGTGATCTTAGAAAGCCAGGCACTACAGGCCATGAATGTCATTCACGAGGAGCTTTTAAGTAATATTGATATAGTGGCTGTTAAATCCTTTTCTTAGATGGATCAAAAAAAAAAAAAAAAAAAAAAAAAGTAGTTCAGCTGTGCTGGATCGTAATTATTTATCTAATCAAATATAAAAAAAAAGTTTATTTAGAAATTGAATGACTAATGTAATCAAGCGTTGATCATGGCTAAATCTCTCAAATACGATTCCACATTCTCTATTTTTTGTTTTAAGTCAGCTCTTTCTGCTCCATGATTTTTGCCAGTGAGTTTCTTCAATTCCTCTCGGGATTCTCGTAGCACATTATTAAGATACTCCCTGACGCTAAATGCATTCCTCCGTAAGAACTCCTCACAATAATCTTGGATATCCTTGCTTTGGTAAAGTTTGGCATGCTCACGAATCTCGAACACATTACCATGAACCACAAATCCCTTCGTAGACACAATTTCATCAGCGATCAACGCCTTCAACCTCGGGGCATCATATTGATTCGCCCATTGCAGCAGATCCATCAAAAATTCGCCTCGCATACTGATCGCATCTTCAGATTCAGGGATTGCTCTCGCATCATTTAGGACGGGACGCTCGTCTGTCCGAATGAGTTGATCTGTGTAAAGGAAGTGGATAAGGCCCCAAAATGCCTCAAAGCTTTCTTGTTCTTCCGACATATTAATGATCTCAACTCCAAGATCCGATGGATCTCTCGTAGAATATTGAGCCCATGTGCCTGTGAATCTGCGGGCAAAATATTCGTTCGTATGCACAAGCATGAATTTGTGCGCCAAAATCTCTTGGTTATCCGAAAAAACGAAGCGAACATCCATGAAGCCGTTGTGTCGGTCTTGTGAGACCCAACAGTTGAACAGCCGCTCCTCAATCTCACCAGGTCGACGGCCTTTTGGAACCTCAACGCTACCTTCTACATTTTCCATTTGTAGAGCTCCTGCAGTTACTAAAAACTCTCGGTAAGCTTCCATGGATGGATGGACAGCAGAAAAATGTCCAGTGTTGTTTTCAATGTCCAGCATCAAATGCTTTGGCCACAGCCAAGATTCTGGTCGGCTAGGGTCCTTGTCATTGCCATTGAGGATATACGGCCCCTTCATGTTGGAAAGTGCTCGAGAAAGTGCCTTCCTCTCTTCCTCGGACTGTTCTGCAACGGACTGGAGGGTGTCATAGATCTTGAACAGGGAAAGCTTCAGTTTCAGCTGTTTATCCGTAGATTTCCATGTTAGAGCCACTTTCTGGGACAACATTGATAAATGGTGCACGATCTGGGTGATATCGAAATCTCCTACAGAGGGATAGCACTGTTTGAAAGTACTGGACGGCTTGAGTGACTGTGGAAAGAAAGCGCACTGAGTCCAGCAGACCTCACGCCATTTAGGGTCAACAACCTTGCAGAACGGTAGGTATGCTGATAGCTTAGGCTTGAACTCATTGTAGGGCTCGTCTTGCATGACTTCAGCTGGGACAATCTGCCACTGAGGATCCATCCAATTGATGTTCCTGCAACTGCTGTTCCCGCAATTGTTGTAGATGAAGTGCACAAGTTGTACGGCTTTTGAGCGAACATTGGGAGCTTCGCTTCTGATGAGATCCAGGACATGCGAGGCACACTCCCGCACGACTGTTGAGTCATTTGAGTTCCGGAACGAAAACAATTGTTTCTTATTTTGAATTATGGCCCATATTTCTTGACTCGGGAATAGAGATTGTTCCCCTTCAAAGACCGTCGAGACAAGTAGGTCATCTGGGTCATAGAGATTGCTACTTACTTTGAAGGAACCATCGCGTGCTACAATGCATCTACTCCACAAAAGGAATCTTTTTGCCTCATTGCTGCCCTTACTGTTTGAAGTACTCTTGCTGATGATTTTGTTGAGCATATTAAAATAGGCCACCTTGCCGTATCCTTGGCAGCTAAGTGTGCCATTGATGAACTTGGGAAGTACTTTGGATTCTGCGGCCGAAACCAGATTCAGACACTGAGCTCCCATTGCTGCAAACATTTTGCAATAATCTGAATTTATAATATCTGGATACTGGCCGAGATTGGCCAAGTCGCAACCTCTCCCCAAAAAATATGAGCCACGAGCACAAATTAAAGGTTGCTCTTGACTAGAGCTTACTGTTAATGACGGCCAGATTTGAAGGATACCGAGAGGCTCTGCGTATTCCTTAAAGCCATCGTTCATCCTGCCCAGCATCGACCTTATAACCGCAGCTTCCACTTTTGTAATAGATCGGCCCGGCCAGTTTGCACACCTTCTAGCAATGCATTTGAGAATCTCCTCGTTCGAAGCCTTGAGAGATGCTTGAGTAAAGTATGGATGCCTTCTATTATCATCTGCACTAAACACGCCAAAGGCCAAATCCAAAAGAAGAGGACCCAACTTTTGCAAATTCACCTTGACCTCGCTATCAGCTTTTGAGGTTTCGAATGACACCTTGCACTGTTTCAGAGGTTTCATTGTCCCATTGAGCATTCGGAGAATTGGGATATCGCCGAATGCGTCGAGGTCCGAGTGTAAGCCCAAATATCGCCAAAGATTGTCATGCTTGTCCTCGGGTACACCATTTGGATGCTCTGCACAGAAGATGGAGGCAAATTTATTTGGCGGTAGTTGCTCAAGACCATAAGTCCTATCCTCGATCAGCCTCGTAAGGATGTCTTCGAGGCCTTTCGTCCCATAACCGTCTACTGACAGGTTTCTCGAAATGCTTTCCTGGAACCAACTCTCGTCCACCAGAAGGTCTCCTCCATTAATCAATTTTCTTACTTCGGGTTTTGTAACATAGCGTACAGGTGATGGGGACAACGGTACCCAGCTTCCATTTACCAATGGCAAAAGTGCAAGGCCATTGATGGGCTCCTGAATGTCCCTCTTAGGCTCGAGGATTGCACTCAGCGTGTACTGGAGGATCCAACGCCTGGCCTCGGGCTTCTTCATTTTTTCCGGTACAAAGGTTGGGTCTTCTCTGATGAGTCTTCGAACATAATCCTCATCGATGACAGTGAAAGGCAATGGGGGTTCGGCCTTCCAATGCTTCTTAATGGACTGCAGAATTAGAGGTGAGATTTCGCAAATGTGGACGCCTTTGCTGTAAATAACATCATGGACCCATTGACGCACCTCCGGAAATGCGCCAGCTAAGCCAGGGAAGACAACATCTTCTCCCGTCAGTGCTATGACTCTTCCGTCTTTCGTGCAAGGAAAGATTTGTTGATCGTAAGCGAGTCTCGAGAAAATGCCGATAAAAGATTCTACGTTGTCCTTTCCCTTAGTTGGCCAAAGTCCGAAGTAGCTATGCACGTTTAACTCGATACCACGGCCTTTTGAAGGCCCACGACCAATAGCACGGAATGTCCATCGGTGCAGATTTTTGAAAGCACGGGCTGTCGTTAGCGGCAAGCATTCATTCATCATAAAATTATTCCAGGATGCTTGGGGGTTACTTTTGTCTGACCCTCCTGCAAGGTTCTTGCGGTTTGATGTCAGCGCGAAAACACCATGGATATGAAATTTAAGGCCAGTGGTGATTGAGGTAGGTAAGTGAGTAAAAAGCCTACCCTCGTTTAGGGGCGAACGGAAGTCATTATATAGGGGGATAGCTTCAACAGCAAACAATTGCATTTCATATTAGGAGATAAAAAAAAAAAAAAAGGATTAGGATTACAACTTGTATAGAGGCTGCCCTTCCAAAATGTTAAAATATGGTTTTTATTCTTACCTATTCCGCGCTCTGAACTCCATTTATTAGCTCGGGCCTGCTCCTTTACTGGATCGTTAGTGTTTTCTGGGAACTCCGAATCGACGTGAATCAGCCACTTCTGAGGCTCCTTGGCATTTGAAGGTAAACCTTTAGTAATGATATCGACTATTTGAGTGGTGGAAGATGAACCACCTTCCGGCCGTAATACATTCTTTGAATTTGGGATATCATCTTCTTTGGTGACACACCACGCATAGTCGTCGTTACTATCCTTAAGTTCAATCTCCTTCATGTTCTTCAAAAATAGCATCCCTATGCTAGCATCTTCTTGCCAAGAACGCAGCATGTCCATAACCTGAATTATAGTCCATTCGCTTCCTATCCGTGTGTCTTGTGTCAACGAGTTTTGATTACCAAATGTTCGCAGTGGGATTCTGAAGATAGTTCCAGGGAAATGAGACTTCATATCGCATCCAAAAAGCCCTTTGTACGGTTTCCATTGATCGGCATAAGTATCACCTTTGAGCTCTAAAAAATTACACCTTTGGCCACCATGCGCTACCAGTCCTCTTGATGTATGACTTTTTGGAAGATACTTCTTTTTTGGATCGAAGAATACAATGTGTGATCCACTCAAGACGCTGGGCACATCCGTGAAGTGATATACAGAATTGAATCCTAGGCCATGACGTCCTATTTTAGAAGGATCATCACCTAGAACCATGAAGTGCGATATCCAAAGAGGAAAAGAAAAAAAATGAGAATATGTCACAAACATGCCAAATGTTTACAGCAAATGCACCTGTAGTCAAAACGAGTAAAGAACATTTTATCCGCTTACGTTTGTTTCCGAGTCCAAGTTTGCACAACGCTTGGAAGTCATCTTCTTTGAACTCAGCATCGTTATAGATAACAAGTGCTGGTCCTTGCCATGCAGACATCTCTTTTTCTAACAGCGATTCTTTACCATATGATCGTTGGTCCAACATGAATGTGCACTTGGTAGCACCTGCATCCGCCGCATTTTGAAGGAATTCCGTGAAGATATTTGCAGGATCATAGTCATTCAGGATGTTTTTGATACGATCTAAGATATCTTCTTCCTGTGCCCATGGTTGAAATGAAATATCTCTTTGATCTTCCCAAGCCTTGCTGGAGAACATTGGCAACTGGAGTTTTTCTGCCAAAGAAAGTGATATACGATTGTTGGCAAAGGTGTATTTAAAAAGTTCACCATTTTCGAATATGCTTGAATTCGTGCGGCGAAAGCTCACGTTATCAAAAACAATTTCGGTGATTTGGCATAGTCGATTTTCCGAAGTTGGGACCCAGAGGTCAGAAGAATAGTTGAAATCTTTGTGGAAGGCGATCGCGTCTAGTAACTTGACAAGTAAATCTATATCGTCTTTATGCAGCTCCTCATCATCTTTGTACTCGGAGGCAATCTTCGACATGACAGTCCTCAAATCACGCATACCAAGGCATTCCTGGACACCCATCGCCCGGAACAGCCTCGCAAGGTTCGATTGATTGACCTGAACAAAGTAAGGCTCTAGTTTGAAATCCATTGTGAAAACTGCTTTTTCTGTTGTGTAAAATGCGCCGTTGATACGAATCCAAGGCTTTGAGTTCAGAGCCGCTTTCATATAGGATAGCTCGTTCGGGCTGTTAACTTTCTCTTGGAGGTAGTTGTAAATACTGTTGATTTCAGACTCACTGATAGCAAGAGGAGCATCAAGCAAGCTTATAAAGTGCTCCAAGACCTTGTTTAATGGGGCTGGAGTGTCCCAACCCATGCGCTTAATCAATGCTTGGTTAGTGAAAGTGAACATTGCGAGTGGCATCTTTGAGCCCACTAATGATTGATCACTCATTGGTCGGCATTCTGCAGGAGAATATAACTCGCATTGTTTGTCACCGTCTATCCCTGCTAAGATCCATGGTGTTGTTTTGAGCACCGTTTGTAAGTCGCTTGACCAAAACTGTTCCGAGAAGTTTACGTTGAGCTGAGAATATAGGTGCACTAAAACCGGTCGGCAAGTCTCAACTCCGCTCGACTTTGTGCGTGCTGAAAGTGTAGAAATGCGTTCTACTACAAAGCTGGCATCAAATTTCGATCTAATACTGCTCTCCTTCAATGCACTGAAGATAGCTCCGGGAGGGGCATATTGGCCTATCGGAAATAAGATCTCATCGTCCAAAAAATATTCCGAGAGGCTAGGGTCGACAACGTATCTGGGGCTCAGTCGTTTGCTTGACCCATTTTCTTCAGCCATTTTTGGCCCTGACACACGGACGAAAGGCACATCTTGCAAGAGTGACACGAAATTATAATCCTTTGAGTGAATGTGGTACATTCCATAGAATTTGTGCATGATCGGGTCCCATTCGTCTTCATATTGATCGAGGTTTGACAGGATGTGGTGGTACCAATAATCAGATTCCTTAATGGGGATTATTTGAAGAAGTTTAGTAAGATGATGAAGCAAGGGTTGTTCATCTGCTAACAGCTGGATAGAGCGTGGCTGCCATGGGTATTCTGAATGCGAGAATCGATAGGCCACTCTCCAACTCCTCTCCATGGTTCCAGTGCCTTGCAGGGGTACAAGTGATGACATGTCGTATGTTTGAAAGATGGGTAACGACATTAGGGCCTTACGTTGCTCAATATGAAGGCCAACTTCAGTAGACAGCCATCGAGCAATATAATTGCAGATTACTTGACAGTCGGCTTGAGGCAAGCCTTTTAACTTGGCTTCAGATATCTTGGGTACGATCTCCAGAACCATGGAAGCATTTGAAACATCGAACACATAGTCCCCTGCAATACCTTCATGTCTCATAAAACCTTCGCGCAGCACGCGATAATCCAGCTGCTTGTCCAACACATCGATAAATGATTGTAGTGTTGGCTCTTTGCTGAGGTCTGATTGGTCAAGGTAGGCCACTGGGAAAGATTTAGAAAGAGGTGAAAGGCGACCTCGAGTGATTGGTAATAGGTGAAGCCCGTCGAGTCTCGAAAGCAAGCTACTGCCTTCTTTGAAAGAACAAACCATTTCCCAAAAGTCTTTGATCCATTGTGCTGTAGGGAAATCTTCCTCTGTCTGGTCAATGACGTTCACTGGTATACTCCTACCACTGTAAACAAAAGCAAAAAAGAGATCCCGGATTCTCGCTGCAAGATCAGGGATCTGTAAATTGCACCAAAAAGCGCTGAATCCTTCCTCGTTTCTGAAGGACTCGACTAAGTCTGCATCGATATCAATGTCGACAAGGCCTTCATTCGAGTGCTCGAGGACCTTGAAGATTTTAGGCGATGTAATATATCTGTAACATGTGGCCAGGAGATTGGAGGCTTGCTTCAGTATAGGGGTCATTTAAGGAACATAGCTTTAACGTATTCTTATCATTTTTTAAGAAATATCATTCACCTGCAATCCCTTTCATCGGAGCAAAACTCAACCCATGTGTCACCAGCCATAGGGAGCAATGGCAATCCTTCAAGGTCAGCGATTTCTCCATCTTGAATGCAATACGTCAGCATGTCGATCCTGGTTTCGTTGGAAGTAGATGATGACCACCTCTTTTTGGTGTCTCTTAAAAGGACTCTGACTAGTTCCGGGGTGAGGATACGATCCTCAAGGTCAAGGTCCTCGATTACCTCCTGAAGTTCTTCGAGGATTGGGTCAGGAAGGTCTACGACAATCTCATCCAACTCCTGTAGGGCTTTGAGAAGGTGTGGGTGACAGTCTAAATCCCGTCCTGCGATCCAAGATGAGCTGTAGCTCACCAAGCGCTGGTCATTCGATGTTTCACTGCCACAGAAAAACACAGCAAGGTCCTCCTTGCAAACAACTCGAAGGACATTGCTCAACAAATCTTTCCATAGCATGTCCACTCCAAGGCCTTCTCCACATGATGTAGGCCACAGGCTATAGTTTGGCCCACGTGCAAGACCTAGATCGGCCAAAAATTTGGCGTAAACGACCGGAACATGGGCTTCAAACAAATGAATGTTCCATTCCGACTTGATGTTCGCGGAGGCGTCCTTTGCAAAATCGTTGTCTTGATTTGTCCAAATCTCACGCCGGCTTTGTTTGACTGCAAAATGTCCGTTGATATGGACAGGAAATGGTAAAGAGATGCCGATAGGTAGGAAGCAAAACAAGCGAGGACCATCTACTTTAACACCAGGCATTGACGGTGCAGCAATCCCGACCCATGGAATGAGTTTGTGGGTGCTGAGGTCTCCTCCCGTTTGCTCAGTCATGTGCTGATGGGCCTTCACTACATTTCCAATAAAAGTAGTAATATGCCAAGCTTCATCTGTAATGGAGCCGTCAGCTTGAGTAAGCCTGTAAACGGGCTGGATCGAATACTCGAGGGTGGCTTCGGTGTCCTCATCCTCCTCTGCGTTGACATGGCTCCTTAGTTTCGAAAGCAACTGTAACCGCTTCTTTCGCACCTCCTCAGCATTCAAGATCTCTATCTCAAAGAGTTTCTTGGGGGTTTTATCAAGCGCTTTGCGTTCATAGATGATGATACGTTCAACATGTTTCAAGAACAGGATGCCGCGCAATGCTTCATCTCTTAGCTTCAATAGCATCTCCAGCACCTATGGAGGGATAATGCCAACAAGAATTAACCAATGTGGCAATAAGCCCAAAGGGATTAAGAACGATCCAATGGTGAATATGTTTGTATGAGCTCACCTTTTCGGTCGTGTATGCTTTTTTGGAGAGAAGTGAGTTCTTTGCCTGCTCTTTTGTTCTTAACGGGAATCGAAAGATAGTTCCCTCGTACGGTTTGGAAAAGTCAATGTCTTCAAGCACCGAAAAGGCCTTTAGTTGATCAGGGATATATTCCAACCCCCAGCGATCCTCCACAAAATTATATGATGCTGAACGAGGCGGGAGATCACGGTTTCGTCCATCAAGGATACGTTCATGGGGATCAATCACCATTAGGTCAGAGCCTGTGATGAAAGAGGGACAATCGGTAAGATGGTAAATGCTAATCAATTCAGGCAACATAAAGGAACAATCAGTTCATCAGCGCCCCAAAAGATTTTTTTTTTCTTTTTTTAACATGAAAGAATGAAGATATGAAATACACGGGTTTGGTTTACCTATTGAACCCTATGCCCATTTGGCCGATTTTCGTTTCATCATTTCGCTTTTCGCTCGCTGCAAGGTTCATCATAGACTTGAAATCCTTTTCTTCAAACATCGAGTCGCTTCCTGACAGCAACGCTGGGCCCATGTATTCATCCATGTCAGGATCTAAAAGCTTGAGCGGGCTTTGTTCAGAAGAGGCCGAAGCCGCGTCTTGATCTTTGGGTTTGTTAACCCGGTAATCGTGGTGATCAAGTAGATACCACTGTATTTTCGAACGGGCGTCATCGCTGTTCTGGAGTAACTCACGAGCGATTTGAGTCCCATCTGGATACTCGTCAAGAATACCTCTGATTCGGTTCGTCAAAGGCTCACGAATGTCACGGTGCTTTGCTCTGGACTTGGTAGAAGTCATGCTTGTTAAAAGTTAAAAAAGTACACTTGGATGTTAAAAGTGCGTAACCTTTCTGTTGTGTTCAGGGGATGAAGGTTGAAGAAGGAAACAGAGAAGGAGAAAGAGAGGAGTGAAAAAAGAGAAGTAAAAAATAAGTAAATAACAACGTTTAACGTTTAATTATAAAAGGTCACAGTCGTGTTTACTCAAAAAAAAAAACCAAAGACAGCATAAATCATGAGAGGGGGGCGAAGATGAAAGAGACATGGTGCATGATTTATGAACTGTAGTCAGTGCATTTTCACAAACACAGGGGGTGGCAGTACCCAACTGTGAAAATTTGGATTTGAATATGAAAAAAAAAAAAAAAAAAAAAAAAAAAAAAAAAGTTACTTCGCCAACCCTTTTGAGATGAAGATGGTGACACATAATCTAGTCTCTTTCTATCCAATCTTTGTGGCGGGGAACACATTGTGTTGTTTGTGTTTGCATTAACTGCTGTGCTGAGTAATGATAATAGTCATGAGGAGAGACAGGCATGCATTCACTCGGCGCTTTATATACATTATGGTAATCATAATTGTTTCACTGTGCACATCCATATCTATCTTGCTGTTGGTTAAGAGAATATTTGTACAAGTCATTTGAGAGAGATGTTTGACTATCTTTCTAAATGGCTTTTAGCCATTCTTTTTAGTGGTGGGATCTTTTTCTTGTCTTTTCATCATCCGATTTATAATCGGACTCTTACAACGACAAGATTTAGAGCTACAACTACAGCTTGTATGTTTATCCTTATAGCAAGTGATATCTAAAAGCTAATAATGAAGCCTTGCCACTCTTGCCATAAAGTATAAATCAGCTTCGATCCAATCGGGTATCATGCCTCGTTACATAGCTTTAGTATGCAAAAACCCATCACTCTGGAGGTCCTTCTCATCAATAAACGCCTGTCAATGATACGTGCATGTTTTTGTTCTCAGATTCTAAATGTACTTTCTAAATGTACATTACATGTATGAATATGTACACATGTTATGTACTGTACATATACAGTGGTAAATGCAAACCTTTTTTGGTGGCGTAAGAATCGTAGCTCAAAAGACCTTCTCAATTAGGAAAGAGCAATGGGTCACTTTTTTTTTTTCTTCTTTTTTTTTTCTTCGATAATAATTACTTCTCTTACTTTTATTCAGTTCACTTTCACACCTTACCTCATACGAAGTTAAAGTCCTTTTCTCTCCGTACAAAAAAAATGTCTACAGGGAATTTCAGACCAAAAGTCCTCATTGTAGGAGCAGGCTTGGGAGGATTGACACTAGGGGCAATCCTAGAGCGAGCAGGAATTCCATTCGAGATATTCGAAAAAGATATCACATGGAAGTCACTAGGCTCTGCTATCAGTCTCGGTCCTTGTGTTGTATGTCCTTTGCTTCATTTTTCTAAGAATTTATGGATAGAGAGAAAGAGAGAGAAGAAAAGATACAAATGCTAGTTATACTATGCTCTTGACTGCTTCTTTTTTTTTTTTTTTACTGGTTACTACCAAGTAGATGCCAATGTTAACACAGCTAGGGGTGATTGACCAAATTCAAGCAAAAGGGCTTCTTATGAAAGAAAGCACCTTGGCTAATGAAAGGATGGAGCTGTTAACCTATTTTGACTACCACTCCGGCACAATAGAGAGGTACTTTTCTTCTTTTTTATTATTTGTTGGAGAAAGGATAAGAGAGATGTAGTAAATTAAAATCTCTCATTTTCTCTGTAAAATCCTTCTTTCTCACTGGCATGTTCACTTCAAGGTTTGGATGGCCAGCCCTGGTCATTGCGCGTCCAACGCTTCATTGTATCCTGGCTAGCTTAGTACCAAAGGAAAAGATACACATGAATTCACGTGTTATCTCTTGCACCCAAACCAATGATGAGATCGCTATCCAAACCGCCGACGGAGAGACTTTTCAAGGGCATATGTTAGTAGGAGCAGATGGAGCGTACAGTTTCGTGAGGAAGGCCATGTACAAGGAGTTGAAGAAGCAAAACAAGCTCCCCATCTCGGACGAGGAGCCCTTGAAATATTCCAGCACTTGCCTCTTGGGCCAAACACGTCCTTTGAATGAAAGGATTTATCCCCATATCAACGACCAAGCCTGCAAATATGAAGTTGTCCTTGGTATCGAAAGACCTTTATGTGTATGCTCTTTTCTTTTTCTTTTCTTTTTTTTTTTTTTTTTTTTTGATATTCCTAAAATCTGCCTCTATAATCTTTTTTTTTTTTTTTTTTTTTTTTTCTCAAGTGTGCCACTTTTACAACTGCAGAAAAGACAGTTTGTTGGATGGCAATGGTATTATTAGATAAAGACAAGCACTCAAGCCAATCTCAGGATACACCTCATCCATCATCAAATCGCAATTCGGATACTGTCGATGCATTATGTGCTCAAATACGAAACTTTCCCATGCGGCCAAATCTCACTATGGGTGATTTGATTGATTTAACCCATAAAGAAGCCATTTCTCATGTAAGGTTGGAAGAAAAAATCTATGAAACTTGGACAAGTGGCCGGATAGTTTTGATGGGCGATGGTAACAAGGAACAATATACATGTATATATAGAGAATATGATTGAGAATGTGAATGTCGGGAGAATGATGTATAACTATTGACCCCTTTTTCTTTTTTCTTTTTTGCTTAGCATGCCACAAGGTTTGACATAATCAATTAAAGGACTCTGACACTTTTCTCTTATCTAATATCTCTAAACGACTAAACTACTAACACGTTGCCTATGGACATATAAATGTTGCTATTCATTAATGTTCCAAAACAGATGATCCCGATTGCAGGACTAGGCGCTCAATCGGCCATGCTTGACGCTGTTGTCCTAGCCAACTACCTGCATCATCTAACAACAAATGATTCACAAGATATTGAGCGCATTTTGAACGCATATAGGAATGAACGATACCCTCATAGCAGAGCCTCTGTGAACAAAAGTGCTTCCATGGCCGTCGTCGTTAGAAATGTACCTTCTCTTTTCGCTTTTGCTGAACATGAACATGAACATGAGGAAGCGGACAAGAGAAAAACTCATTAGCTTCTTTTTGCTTTTTTATTCAATTCATTTTTATGTTAGAGCTTTGCGGGCTCGGTAGTGCGATGGTGGCTAAATCATATACCAAGGTGGCTTTGGCATATCCTTCGAGCCGAAAACGGAAATTGTCGTCCTCAGATATCGTTTTTGCCACTGGTTGAGGATAGAGGATACCTGATTAGCAGGCTCTGATTGAGACAATAAAACAGATAATGCGCGATCGCGCTACACATTCTATGCATTCATATTTAAATTAATACAGACGATGATCTTGAATATTTCTTCTTTTCCTTTGTCACCTTCCATATTATTTTGGTACGGCTGTAAGGGAGTTTATGCATTAACTACCAATGCTGATACTCAAATCCGCCTGCCTCCTCATAGCACTCTGTAATATGTGCTTAGTTTAATCTCACCCACAGTCTCCAGAGATAAACCTACTCATAAAGATGACAAGATTGTTCAGCAAAAGAAAGTTTTCCGAACAAAGGCCGATCGGCTTCCTCTACTTACTGCATTTCTCGCCGCAATCAACACTGCTATTTATTTGTTATTGATCGTCTATGGTGCCAAAAACTCCAAATATCGTAACAGCCACAACAGTCCGTACCTTTCTGCGGCCCTTACGCAGCTGCAAACAGTTAAGCCCTGGCATATCGCCGCTGCCATTGGAGCCGTACTGGGGTATACATTGAGAAAATGGTCCTATGTGGCCTTAGACGAGTCCTTCACTGTGAGTTGTTAAAGTTGTTTTTATGCAAGAGGCTTTGTAGATTCAAGCATGTGGGTTCCAGATAGAGTCCTTACATAAGATTCAACATCATATTTTAATTGCTTTTACTACTGTAGATTCAGCTGAAAGTCCGAGTAGGACAGAAGCTGATCACCCATGGACCCTACAGGTATCTCCGCCATCCGTCGTACACGGGCTTTATCACTACTTTCTTTTGCACTTGGTTGCTACTTCTTCACGAGGGCCTCTGGGATGTCATGACTACTTCTGTTGTGGACCAAATCAGGTCATCCTGGCTGAACACGACCGCTTTTGGAGCCACTATTTTGTCCTTAATGTCGTCATTGCCTGGAATCGGAGGGAGAATATGCTTTATGGGTTTAGCCACCATTATATTCAAAAGCTTTTTAGACCGCATCGTCATTGAGGAGGAGATGTTGAAGAGCCATTTTGGCAGAGAATGGGACAATTTTGCCAGCAAACGCTGGCGCTTGGTTCCATTCGTTTATTAAGAGATTTAAACAAACTTATATTTAATTCTATTTATTGAATTGATTGATTAAAAAAATGACAGGAAAGTATAAAAATAGGAGCAGAGAACATCAAGTGTGTAAAAATGTGTTAAAAATTGACGATTGCAATATATACCGTCTCCCCTTCCTCACTGGCAGCTGCTGCAGACTTCTTTTCTTTTTCTTCATCTTCTTCTTTTTGCTTTATGTTCAATCCATTTTATATTGGAGCTTTGTAGGCTCGGTAATGCACTGGCGACTGAATTATATACCAAGATGGCTTTGTCATATCTTTTGAATCGAACATAGAGTATCATTTCTACCAGTTGAACAAGGAAAAATGGAGGTACAAAAGGCTTGTGTATGTACCTTGTATGAACTAAGCGGACAAATACCAAATTTTCATGTGTTTTTTGTACGATTTCATTTCTAAATAAAATGAAGACAGACGCAATCTGGAAGTGCTCTCTTTTATCTCTTCTTCACCTTCCTTTTTTTCTTTTCTTTCTTTTTTTTTTTTTTTTAAACCTCAATTGTAAGCAAAGCTGGCGCTTTAAATGTTGATACTCAAATCCATCTGTCTCCTTTCGGCGCTCTATGGCTATGTTTGTAGTGCCATTCCACCCAAAGGCTCCATAGACAAATCCATCCACAAAGATGGCAAGGCTGTTCAGGAGAAGAAACTTTTTAACACAAGGGTCGATCGACTTCCTCTAATCATGGCATATATCGCTATTATCGAGACAGCGATTTATTTGCTGTTGATCATCTACGGCGCTAAAACCTCTGAATATAGCAACAACTACAACAGCTCATACCTCACTGCGACCCTTACACAACTGCAAACAGTTAAACCCTGGCATATCATCGCTACCATCGGAGCTGTACTGGGCTATGCATTGAGGAAATGGTCCTTTATAACTCTAAACGAGTTCTTCACCGTAAGTTGTTGAAGCAGAGGGATTTGTAGGTTCGAGCATGTCTGGATCTGCGCAAGGAATTAAACAAAATCCCATGTCACTATAGTTTCAACTAACCATTCGACCAGGACACAAGTTGATCACCCATGGGCCCTACAAGTATCTTCGTCATCCATCATATACAGGCGGAATCATCAATGGCATTTGCTTTTGTTTGCTCATCTTCCACAAGGGTCTTTGGAGTGTCATGTTTGCTTTTATCTTGGATCAAATCAAGTCTTCCTGGCTGAATACCACCACATTTGGAACCCGTATTTTGTACTTGTCGTCATCATTGCTTAGAGGAGAATGGCTTGTAACTTTAATTACCATTGTTATGGTTAGGGCCATATTAGAACGCATTGCCAATGAGGAGAAAATGATGAAAAATCATTTTGGCAAAGAGTGGTACACATATGCTAACAAGCGTTGGAGCTTGGTTCCATTCGTCTATTGAGATTTAGATAAAACTTTTTTTTTTCTTATAATTCTATTTATTGATTTGATTGATTAGAAAAAGAGAAACATGAAAATAAAAGTAGATCAAGAACATCAAATGTGCGAAAATGTGTTGACTTGGATTTTAGAAAGTGGCAACCGCAATACCGTCTTTCTGCACCACAACGGGATCTTCCTTCTTCTCTTCGGATGCAGCGGCTGATGCTGCTGCTGCTGCTGCAGACTTCTTTTTCTTTTTCTTTTTCTTCTTTTTCTCGCCATTAGTCGGCCCAACTTCCTCATCTGGTGAACCTGCGGCTTCATCTTCCTCACCCTCCCGTGATGGACCCTCGTTCTTGCTCTCCTTGCTGTCATTACCATTAGTGGTAGCAATGTTGCCGCTGCTCTTGTGCTCGCTCAGTTGCTTCTCTAGTTCAGCCACACGTGCGCTCAAAGTAGCTCGTTCAGACTCGAGTTGAGCCGTTGATACATTTGAAGCCTCAGTTGCCTTCTTAGCCTCAGCAGCCTTAGCCAATTCAGCACTCAAAGTATTCTTCTCCTTCTCAAGCACAGCGACAGCCTCAGTCTTCTTGGCGATCTCTGCAGCCAAAGATTCCTTCTCCTTGAAAACTGATTCCTTCTCCTTGATAATTGATTCCTTCTCTTTGATCAATGACTCCAACTCAGTTGTCTTGGTAGTCAATTTAGATGAGAGCTCCTCCCTCTCCTTGATTAGCGATTCGCGCTCCTTCTTAATAGTTTGGTGCGATACGGTTGCAGTGGCCAGCTCATTTGCAAGGGACTCCTTCTCAGTGATGATCGACTTCTGACTTGTCTCTTTTGCAGAAATCTCTTGTTGTAGCTCCTCGATTCTCTTTTGAAGAGCACCGGACTGATCTTCGGCCTTCATACTGTTCTCAGCTGCACGCTCTGTCAATTCGCTAATGCGGGCGTTCAATGTTTGCTGCTTCTCCATCAGAGCTGCAATCTGGTTGTTGGAGGTCTCTAGCTCCTTGGTCAGGTGATCAAACTGCTCTTGGTGAGTGCTGAGTGTGCTTGCATGAGTGCTTTGGAGCTCCGCAATCTTAGCCTTAAGCGCCTTCTCTTCGTTCTGGGCCTTGCTAAGGGCAGCCTCAGCAGCGGCAAGTTTCTCCTTAGTTGCAGACAGGTCAGTTGCTTTGACAGTAAGATCAGACTCTTTAGAGGACAAAGACTTGGTGTGTTCGTCTTGAATCTTTGTAATTTGTTCCTTGAGACGTTTAATCTCAGCTTCCTTCTCAGAAGTCTTGTCAGATCCCTTGGAAAGTTGACTACGAAGCATATCAATCTCCTCAATCAATGAGTGCTTTTCACCCTCAAAGGTTTCGGCTTGGCTGTGTGTAACTTCCTCAGCATGACGGACAGCTTCTGCATACTGTTCAACCTGAGCCTTTGAGTTTTCGAGTTCATTCTCCAAGGATCTGTAGTCAGCCTCGAGCACAGAGATCCTAGAATCCTTCTCGGATAAGATAATGGTGCATTTGTGATGGAACTCGTTGCGTTCTCTCATGGCTGCATCAGCTCTGTGCTCAGCTTCGATTGATTTGCGAGAGTACTGGTTGATGTCATGTTCAGCGCGTGCGAGCTGTTGCTTCAGATCCTGATTAATCTCGTTCATGCGCTCCAGCTGTGCTCCAAGATGAGCACGGCTCTGGTTAAGATCCTGAATTTGTCGCTCCAACTCTGCAACAAAGGCAGAATTTTCAGAAGCCCTCTGAGCCTGCTCTTGAAGCGCTTTGGCATTGTCCTTCTCAACAGCCAATTGCTTAACCAATAGGGAGTTGGTATAGTTGAGTGATTCCAGCTTAGAGTCAATTGACTTGGCGCGACTTTCAGTCTTTTTCGCCGCCTTGACAACCTCAGCGTTGGCTTTTAATTCTTTCTGAAGATCCTGGACTTGAGTTTTAGCCTTCTCCGACTCTGCACGAGCGGCAGCGATTTCCTGATCCTTAGACTTCAGCAATGCATGAAGAGCTTCAAATTCGTGCTTGGGGACAGAGTCTTCAGCGGCAGTAACGGGGATGGCAATAGGAGCTGCCTTTTGATCCTTGGCAACCAAAGGTATCTCTTGATCGACTTTGACGGGCTCAATAGTCCTAACAGGTTCGGTAGTCTTGGAGGGCTTAGCAGATTTAATGGTCTTGATAGGTTCATCAACCTTCACAGGTTTATCAATCTCGACAGGCTCATTAACCTTAGCAGGTTCGACGGCTTTGGGGACCTCGGTGTTCTGGACAGAGACAGTGGCTTGTGCGGATTCTTTCTTTGCAGCTTTCTTTGCCTTTTTGGACAAAGGTTTAAGTTCCTCGGTAGGGGAATTGGAAGCAACGTTAACAGGCGAAACCACAGGAGCCGCAACAGTGGTGGCGGGGGAAGGGATAGGGTTGGTGGCGTGGCTGAGAGTATGGGCAGGAACATGGGCAGGAGCATGGGCAGGAGCATGGGCAGGAGCATGGGCAGGAGCATGGGCAGGAGCAGACTCTTCAGTCTTCTTGATGGTAGGCTCTTCAGTCTTCTTGATGGTAGGCTCTTCAGTCTTCTTGATGGTAGGCTCCTCAGTCTTCTTGATGGTAGGTTCCTCAGTCTTCTCGGTTATGGGCTTCTCAGGTTTTTTGGCAGTAGGAACAACGGCAGTCTTTTCAGTCTTCTTGGCCTCCTTCTTAGCCTCCTTCTTAGCCTCTTTTCTACTCATAGGTGGTTTGATAATGGTGGCATCGAGGAGATCGTAGGGGTTAGAGGAGATGACTCTTTCATCGATCGTCTCATTGGTGCTTGACTCCTTGTCCTGATCAACAGTAGCTTTCTTTGGACGAGGGGCTTGAACAGTTCTATAGAGATCAACGATCAAATAGTGTGGACAAGGGTAGATATAGAATTAGTAAGTTTTATTCTTGAATATGTGTAAATGTGCAATCTCTTTATAGTGTTGACACAATAGGGAAGAAAGGTCGCATATGTACGACAACCTCATTCAACACCATAGTTCACTTTCTTTCTCAACACTGTTTTACTGATCCACTGAAAGCTGCTTTAAAGATTGGTTGTAGTGCTCCAGAATAACTAATCCTTTATATTCTTATACTGGCGATCCAACACCAAAAATATGCTTTTACTCATGTTCAATAAAAAAAATTTTGTGTTTGTTTTGTGTCCACACGGAATAAAACAATTGTTTGTGGAGAAGTTGAAACCTGTGTGATCAAAAATAGCACCTCTTTGGACATACCACACACGAATACATACATGACAGATCTTTTTTTTTTAAAAAAAAAAAAAAAAAGAAAAGAAAAAGAAAAGAATGAGGATAGACAAGCAGATAACTTACTTCTTTTTGGCCTGCTTGTTACTTCCGCGCTTGGATTCGATTTCATGTTCCTTCAAAAGCTCCTTCTGAGCCTGCTCGGCAAGAAAAGCGCGTTGTTGACGGGATTGAGGCTCGAAAAACTTCTGCAATAGGAAATATAACCCGGTCAATAGAGCACATGTAATGGCCGCAGTAGTGAAGTTCAAGTTAAATTCCATGAAATCCATGACAGCGATCGCGATGGAAACAAGATTGGGTGAACAGAGTAAAAAGATGATCAACAAAAAAAAAGATCTACACAGTAAAAAAGAAAAAATTGCAGAATGTGGCTGATTCGTCAGATGATCTGATGACGATTGACACCATGTTCATCGTCGTGTCATGATGACACTGGGCAGTCTATACTGATCAGTGCTGATGTTTTACCTTATGCGTCTCCTTTAGTTCGTTCTTCTTATTTTTTTTCCTTTTTTGTTTCTTGCTCGCTTCGACTGAAGTAGAGCCACGAAACAGAGAGAAAGAAGGGATACGAGCGGTATAAGGGAGTAAAAGACAGGAAAGGAATAAAAAAGAAAAGAAAAGAAGAGGAGCGGAACACAGGACGGGAGAAAGATATATAAAAAAAGAACCCCATCCTGTGAACACATTCAGCATATTTCAGTCACTCGAGTGCTGGCCAATGAGCATGTGTTCTTGCTTTTTTTACTCACTTAATAAACATTGTTGTAAATGCTGTGCTCTCAAGCCATGCTGATAAAGCCGTATTCATGTTCATAAATCTTCATGTGTGCGACGCATAGGCTTTCAGCCTTAATATTCAAGTCAAAAGAAAAATAGGATCAGAGCTTTGACCTCAAAACGACCTGTTTCCCCCGAGTTTTTACGCGTCTTAACAATTTGATTTTAAATCTGTCAATGCAATCAAGCAACTCCCTCAGTTTCTACAAGTAGAAAAAAGGCCATTCGGGATCTGTCAGATCAATAAAATGAACAGATATATCCACATGAGCGATCGCTAGAGGTCGTTCATACAGCATGCATGAAATTTCCAACCCCAAGCTTTGTTGGTGTCAATGGGAATCACACCGCTTTTATTCGTTGTTGCCGTTTGCCGTTTGTGTATCGTTTGTCGTTGTTCTTTACTTCATTATACCATTCATACCTCCTTATTACTTTTTCCGCCCACACTACCAACACCATCTCCTTGTCATCCCTGTGAATCACACAATCACACATTACAAGTATAAAATCAAAGAACCTGACATTTTCTGGCATATAAAACTTTCAGTGGCCACGGCAAAAATAGCGTGTGACAATGGCGTTCTTGACCAACATACTTAACCGGCATCAAACACTTGGTCCATATTCAACCATCTTATCCCTAGGAAAAGCTAGCAGCTATTTCCTCCTAGGAGCTCTATTAATTCTTGCACCCGATCCATACGACGCTCCCTCCGCCTCCAGAATAGTCTCTTCATGGATATATCCTTATTACGGCTCATCATCGTCTATTATAATGGCTGACGCCTCTTTGTTCCATAGCTTAAGGTTATTTACCAAAAGCCGCAAAAAGGGACATAAAATGCATGAGAAAGATACCTCCTCATCTTTCTCTGACGGCGTTTACTTTCTAGCGGCCAAAAAGGACAATAAAGCTGCTGAGGAAACAGAAACAGGAGGAAGCGAAATGGAGGACAAGGGATCAAACATGGTTATTGCGGCGCAATATGACCAAAATCCCATAATAAATCATTATGGGGCCAGCAAAGAGATGGGACAGTGGGATTTAGTGGGCCTTTCTGGTGTGAGTGCAATGCACGGTACGCTGATCCCCAACACCAACAAGATTGTGTTTTTGGAAAAAGTAGAAAAAAACTCGAATGCATACCTGCCCGATGACCCCACCAGCTACTCATGGTCAGTTGAATATGACATCGATGATTCGACCTTCAGATCACTACATATAAAAACCAATCTTTTCTGTTCAGCAGGTGGATACCGCCCAGATGGAGTGAGTACTTTCAGAACATCTTCGGACATGTATGTGGGAATGCACCTTCTTTACTTGTCTTTCTAATACCCCAACGTATCACCCGGGATACATCTATCACTAGACAATCGTGTCGTTGGGAGGCGCAGAGGCACAAGCAAATATTGCTGAAGGCTGGAATTCGCTACGATTCTTGTCCGCTTGCAATGCAACTTCCTCGGCATGTGATTGGGATACACGTGACGAGATTACGCTAGGAGTAGGGCGCTGGTACCCAACCGTCGAATCTCTTGCTGATGGTCGGCTGTTCATCATAGGTGGTTCAAGTCGTGGAGCATCAACAAACTCTGAGGAGATTGGTGTTCCATCCTGGGAATTGTATCCACCACTTCCATCAGGCCCAACCCACTTTTCGTTCTTAGAAGAGACACTGCCATATAACCTCTATCCAGTAAGACACACCACGAAATCTTTAAAAAGCACTCTGGATTTTAAACTAACGCAAAAACACAAAAAAACCGCTCCAACTCTTACCTATTTAGATGGTCCATTTGCTCCCAGATGGCAACCTGTTTATTTTCGCTAATACAAAGGCCATCATCTTCTCCACAAAGACATTCTCCATTATCAAAAATTTGCCTGATCTTCCTGGCCCACCACGTAACTACCCACTCTCTGGAGGCAGTGTTTTGCTTCCTCTCCGCCCCGAAAACAATTATGAGCCTGAAGTCCTCATTTGTGGCGGTGCGACAGACTTCAAATCACGAGCCGTAGGACAAGAACAGTGTGGACGTATAAAACCTTTGAGTACGAGTCCACAGTGGATTATGGAAAATATGCCATTTGGCAGAATGATGCCAGATTTGGTAATCGTTGCTGATGGTTCTGTCATCATCTTTAATGGCGCCAACAAAGGGACTGCAGGATATAGCCGTGCTAGCGAACCCGTCTTGAGTCCGGTCAGATACCAGCCTTGGGACAGCCTTGAGACCAAACGAAGCGATTCTCGATTCACAGTTCTAAACCCTAGTTACATTCCTCGTTTATATCATTCAATTGCCATGCCTGTACTGGATGGTCGGGTCCTTGTGGCGGGATCAAATCCTAACGCGAATACATTGGAGCTGGGTGAATTTCCTGTTGAATTCCGTGTCGAGATGTTTTCTCCTGGATACTTGTTTTCAGACGTTCCTAGGCCCTTGCTCAGGGTCGAAGCAACCATCGGACGCACTATAACACGCCCTATTGCGTTGTCTGTACAGGCACTACAAGATGCCAAGCTTAATCCAGAACGTGGCCAAGGCAGCGGTGACACTTTGGAGAATGTAATCTCATACGATACAGAATTTGAGTTTGAAGTTGAATTTTATGGTGAAGTTATGTCAGAAGCTCAGATCATTACACAAAAGGGCGGTGTAATCAACGATGTGCCCCCAAAGGTTCAAGTAAATCTTTTAAATGGTGGATTTTCAACCCACTCAACTCATATGAGTCATAGGATGGTTGGCTTGGAGATTGTAGGATATAAACGAACACCTGGTCAGCTTGATCGGCTAAGAGTGAAAGGGCCTAGGGATGGGGCGCTCGCTCCTCCAGGATGGTACCAAATGACCGTTCTTGTGGATAGGGTACCAAGCGAGGGTACCTGGGTTCGTATCCTTCCACCATAGAAAACGCGTAAATAAAAAAGGGCGGGCGTGGATCACGTGTAACGCGTCTGCTACGCGGTTTTTTCTTCATGCAAAAGTCATTTGTCCCTTCTTCTATCCATTCTGCATCAAATTTACCTTGACAAAATGTCATTAAACAGAATTGTTCAGTCAATCAAATTAGATACCAATGTCATGATTCCTAGGGTGACGACTGTCAAATACAGATCTGTCACGACTTTTCCCACGGTCCATGTATGGGCTCGAACACAACGATGCACAACTCAACAACAGAACCTTGCCACTGATCACCAGCCTAGGTTCATTTTTAATAAGGGTACACGGCGATACATGAGTGTCTCGAGCTTTAGGTCCAAGGATCTGACTCGTGCTACCGCTCTCGTATACTCTTCCTATGGTCGACCAACGGAAGTTTTAAAGTAATTAGTTGGCTTTTCTTCTCTGGGTATTGTTAGGACAAAAAAAATATAGAAAGAAAAGGCACACCATGCATTAATTCAAGATCATTAATTATCTCTGGCAATGCTCATTGTAGGGTCCTATGCCATACATTAGAGCCTCCATCTCATGACTCTGTTCAGGTCCAATTTCTCGCTTCACCAATCAATCCGGCCGATATCAATCAGATCGAGGGGGTATATCCACTTAAACCACCTATGACAACTCAACTCCACTCTTCATCTTCATCCTTTGTATCGTCGCCTCCTGCCTCAACCCCCGCTGCCTACTCGAGCAATAGCAATAGTGGCAGTAGTAGTAATAGTAGTGACTGGCCCCCTGTAGCAGTTGGTGGCAATGAAGGAGTCGCTAAAGTTATAAAGGTAGGCTCTAAAGTTGGACACCTCAAGGTCGGCGACTGGGTCGTTATGGGATCTGCAGGACAGGGAACCTGGCGCTCACACGGTAATTTCAAAGCCAAGGACTTGACAAAGGTCCGATCGGTAGAGAAGATGAATGAGGGCGCAGATTCGTTTGCATTGGATGTTGTACAACTAGCGACGTTGACAGTCAATCCATGCACCGCGTATCGTATGCTCAGAGATTTCAAAAAGTTGTCGCCAGGTACTGCAATTGGATTATTGAAGTGATGCGTATCCGCTAAACTGTTAGGTTTTAAACAACAAGATTTTTTTTTTTTTAAAAAAAAAAAAAAAAGAAAAAAGAAAAAAGAAAAAATCTATGCCTGACATTTATTGCCAACATCTGTACACTCATGTAGGTGATTTTATTATCCAAAATGGCGCCAACTCCGGTGTAGGCGAGGCCGTCATTCAGTTAGCCAAGCCACTTGGTGTCAAGACCATTAACATTATTAGGCACAGACCAGGACATGAGGAAGTCACAGAGCGTTTGAAACAGTTGGGCGCCACTCACATATTGACGGATGACCAACTCGGAAAACTTGAAACCAAGGAGCTCGTAAAGTCATGGATACAAAACAGTGAGGTTAAGCTCGGTTTCAACTGTGTTGGAGGAAAGCCTACTACAGAGATGGCTCGGCTACTCAGGTAATGAAGGCAAACAGTTGGCCTTGTATATATATGAAGCCAGTTTCTGGAAGCTGAGTACATGAGATATTAATATTTGAATAACATTTACTACATATTATCATTGATACTACTACAGTAAAAATGGACACCTGGTTACCTATGGAGCTATGTCTCGTCAGCCACTGATACTACCTGCTAGTTTGCAAATCTTTAAGAATGTGCATGCATCTGGATTCTGGCTCACTGCATGGAATGATGAACACTCTTCACAAGAACGCCAAGATATGATTAATGACGTGCTTGACTTTATGAAGCAAGGTCAGTTTGCTGAAATCAATTGCACAAGAAATCGATGGTCTGTTACAGAGTCGGATACCTCAGTCTTGGAAGAAAAGCTATTACAAGTGGTACAGAAGGCAACGTCTTCAGGACATGGCAAGCAGGTGTTTGTAATGGAGTAGTGGTTTCACTTGTTGATCTGGACATTAATAAAGCTTTTTTTTTTCTTTCTTCGCTGAATTTAAATACGAGTTTCTAAGCTTTATTAAAGACCAAATGATGAATATGTTTGTATGCTTCACTACAAAGGTGATATTATGATATATACATTTGTCTCTTTTGCTCTCCATCATTTCTCAAACTGTAACAGCTATACCGCTCATGTGTCTTGAGCACAAAACAAAAAAAGAAAGAGAGAAAACCAACTTTTCTCTCTTTCGTTCTTTCTTGTTCTTTTCTTTCTTATATATAATTCACAACGATAGGACGATTGAGACCAAGGACATTCACAACTCCGCAGTACTCATCATTGACATGTGCAAACTCTGCCTCCGTCAGAGGTCGAGTCTATCCAACCAGTCAGATACTGGAATATTCCAATGGTTTACTGTCTGAATCTGGTAACTCATCCTTTTGGCTCATTGTCCATAGAGTGATTGGCGAACACCGCTGTAAGTACCATCTGCACCCACAAGGATATTGCCATGGTGAACTTGTTTGCCTGATGTCCAAACAATGAGACTGTCACCCTCTCCACATAGGAGAGCACACGTTTGCCCAGATAGAACTTTTCTGAAGCGACCGAATTCATGGAGGATAGATTGTGAGATAATATAGTCGTTAAATCCGTTAAAAAAATCAATAAAAATAAATGATTGTGAGAAGCGAGTACTCAAGATAGACCCGATTAAAGATTTTTTTTTTTTAACTATCTGGAAGCCTTCATAGGGTTTGGCCTTTGTCTCGATTTCCTCTAGAATACTCAGCTGCTTAAATAGGCATCTATCGTTTAATGAATGTCCTAGAATTTAATAAGAAAATAAAAAAAAAAAATGAATATCATGTTCTTCTACACGCACCACCTCGTCCTAAACTGATTGCAGATCCAAGAGGTTTTAGGGCAGAAGACTTTCCATAGATCTCATATGGAATCTTAGCGTGCTCGAGAATAGCAGTCAATGCTAATCCTCCTAAGTCAGCTCCTACAATAAGAACTTTGGGCTTGGTCATGATATCTGAATCCAAGGACATTTACAAGTAGTTTGGTTGTTAAAATTCAGTATGAAGGAGAAAGAAAGAAGGTATGTGGGATGGAAAAGAAAAGTAAATGAATATGAGGATCAACAACAACGAGATGAGAATATCCGTCGTCATTTCTCCTGCTTCTCTTGTCTGGTCTGTCTGCACGCGACACTCATTCATCTTATCAAGCTTTTGGACATAAAGTCTACTGAGAAAAATTAGCAAGTTACCCAAGTTGCAGTTGAATTCATTTCATTGTGCAACATGCGCTTTTCTGCCCCTCAACATTTTTGAAGAACACAACAAAAGAAAGTGCATTGTAGCAAAGATGAGAAAGCTGACATTTGCAAGGTGCTTTGACATTGTGTCAATTGAACAAGGCTCTTTTTTATTTGCTTATCGAGCGAACATAAAGCTATGGACTCCATTGGACATAATCCACTTGTTGTATTCCACATTAATCATACCTTTTTTTTTTTTTTTTGCCACTTATATCAAGCAAGATAAAGTGTGTTTATCATCAATCACATCATTCAAACGCCTTTCCTTCCTTTTTCTTTTCTTTTTCTTTTTTTTAAGAGATCAGCCAGTGTGAATACAAAGATACCACATGTATTTGGTTCTCGGTGTATTAAGTTTTTAACATCATTTCTCTCAAAATAAAAAAAAAAAGAAAGAAAGAAAAAAAGAATGGCCAATTGCATTGATCATTGTATACAATGTTTGATTGATCATATCTTTGGTCAAGCCAAGTAACGTTTCCTTCGTGCAATAAAGAATTCAATCCAATCAAGAAATCTCGTCCCACATCGCACAGCACTGCATAGCAACATTGGAAGATTGTTTTTCCTCTTTTTGTTCCAGCGTCAGATCCAAGCTTAAGAAATCCTCTTGGATCCATGTCTCCCTATTACCATTTTTTTTCCATATCCTGGAATATATACAGGTCCAAGTAACATGTAAAGCAGCTTTTCCATTAAATCCATCTTTATTTCTGAGAAGCGCGCGCTCCAATTGAAACGAGCATAGAATTGCCTCCCAACTATTACCCGAAAGCAATAATTTAAGCGACAAGAGCAGAGGCAGTGGCAGACTCGCTGTAAAATTAAAATAAAGAATAATAAAAATTAGAATTAATATAATTTTTTTTTTAAAGAAATAGTAACCCAAGCAATTGGAAAAGTATTCTGAACTTCTGATCCTATTGTCCCATATCAGAGAGAAAAGGAAAAAAAAGACTTACTACTTCCAGGTGGGAGGGAGCTGACCAGCGGTCTTGTAGTAGCGAGCAAGACGGTGGATACGGGACTCGATCAAAATGAGGCGGAACTTGCCGTCGCAATCCTTGCGGTTGCGCTCCAAGTGCTTGCGAACGGAGACAGCCTTCTTGATCAAGTGGTAAAGATCTTCAGGAATCTCGGGAGCGAGACCGTTGGACTTCAAGATACGGAGAATCTTGTTACCGGTGACGTTCTTGACCTGAGCAATACCCTGGGAGTCACGAAGAATAACACCAATTTGAGAGGGAGTCATACCCTTCTTGGCGAGCTTGAAAATCGACTCGCAGACATCTTCAGGAGTAGCCTTCAACCAGGAAGGAGGAGTACGTTTGTAGGGGAGAGCAGAGCTCGAGATACCCTTGCCACGGCTGTGCATGCGACCCATTTTGAATAATTTCTGAATGTTGAAATGATGGATGAAAAGTTCTAATCAGTTAATGTCTTTTTTTTTTTTTTTTTTTTTTTTTTTTTTTGATTCGCTTTCGTCTTTGAAGAAATATCTTTCATGCTCTCCGAATGTTGATCATCGTTATTATCGATCATGAAATGTCCATCATGTCCCATCATGTCCCATCACGCAATGTAAATTGTACAATGCGGAATTTCTCCATGAAACCGAGATCATTGAATAGTATTAATCTCCTGATGTCATCATGTTGAGTGTAGAGTATGGTAGAATGTTAAGGTCAATGTGATCTGTGGGTGGTATATTCCTGTTCCTTCAAGATTTCCTGCCTGTCTGCTCCAATAGACTACCTTTGTGGAATATGCGAAAGAGGAGGAGAAATCTTACTTGCAAAAGACAGCCTTTTGTTTACAAAAGAGCAGGAAATTTTTTTTTTTGAAAACTGCGTCATCAATTAGTCATGGAAATAAGTCTAATATCTCGCATGGAAGTAGTGGAAAGCTTATTCCAGAATGGGTGAGACGTTATTTCAACTACAAATGCTCCTTGCTACTTTCACATTCTTTTTCAAGACCAAGTACGCGAACGACATTATTTCCATTTCACAGTACAATGGTCACGCAGAGCAACGCTGATGGAGACCATCTAGTGCCAGCTGCGCTAGTATCCAATTCATTCCTCGACGAATTAACTGCTGGTCATAGAGCTCGTCCCATCCCTTGGGAGGTAAAAAAAAAACAATAATAAAATAAAGTATAAAATTGGATATAATAGCTCATCGAGAATGGCTCAATTTTTTGTGTCTCTTTGGTCTTTTCTTCTTTATGGTTCAGGGTTACCAACGCGCCTCACTTATTACCCAAGTAGAGCTCAATTATATCAAGGCAATTGAAAAAAAAAGTGGTGAAGATCTTTCTCGAGTTGTGGACAAGGTAATTAAAAGAACGATATCAATGTGAAGAAAGAAATAGGGCAGGAGTAGGAGGGAGGAAACACATACATTATTCCTTATTCCCTTATTATCCCTGAATGATTTTTTTTTTTTTTTTTGTGTGTGTTCTAACTGATCTTATAGGAAGGAAACGTCTATGGAGAGTTATTGATCAACCTGCTTCAAAAATTGGTTCGCGTTGACACGATTCAATCGATTCTGGTCTTGATTGACGACCTTTTACTTGGTAATGATTCAAGTATTCAAATAAAAAATAAAAATGAAAAAAAATGAAAGATAATAAGGACCGATTGTAAATGTTAACAAAATTAATGAATACATTTATGTCTATTTTGTCTTTTTTTTTTGTCAATTTTGTAGATCATGATGAGCGCGCCGACTACTTTTTGCAACTGAACCAAGCAGACGCTTCACTGCCCTTTGCACCACTTTTAAAATGTCTTCGAAGTGAAGATGAATTTGTGCCTTTGAAGGCAGGCAAGATCTTGACGACATTACTCTGCGCATCCTCCTCTAAACCCAACATTCAGGTTGCAGAGGAATTGTTTCGATGGACCACTGTTCAATTACAGAGCAAAAACCCGGGTGTGGTAGATTTAGCGGTTCAGATCTTGGAATCCGTTTTACAAAAACAACATGTTCGGATTGTATATTGGAATACACCTCAAGCTGTGGATGCATTGATCAAGATTCTGAGGGTTGAAACACCTACGCCTCAGATGCAATATCAAGTGATTTATGTCTTCTGGATCTTGACTTATAATGAGGAGATCGCTCAGGAACTTAACAGGTACAAAATGAGAGAAGCAATAAAAGTGAATGTGATATATGATTTGGAAAGTGAATAACTAATCACAACCCTTTGTTATTAACTAATATAGAAAATATGATCTGATTCCACAATTGGTGGATATAGCCAAATCAGCCATCAAGGAAAAGGTTGTTCGTGTTGTTATCGCTACTCTTAGGGTGAGTAATAAAAGTGGAGGATAGTCGGCATAACTCGCGGTTGTGTTTTTTTTTTTTTCTTTAAAAAGTGTTTCTAATTTTTTTTTTTTTTTTTTTTTTTTTTTGTATGTCAGAACCTGGCCGAGAAGGCACCAGATGCAAACCTTGCAGCTATGGCTGCAGTCAAATTATTGCCATTTTGCGAGAATTTGTCGGGACGCAAATGGTCTGATGGTGATATCTTGGATGACATCAACTATCTCAAAGAAGAACTTGAGACTAATTTCCAAACACTAACGTATGTGAATAACAAGGAAAAGAATTCATCAAAACAATGGAATACAATTTGTTTATATTTTAATACTATATATTTTTGATGATTATAACTTCAGTACATTCGAAGTCTATCAGGCTGAGTTGCAGTCAGGAAGATTGACGTGGTCGCCACCTCATCTATCAGAACAATTTTGGATCAAGAATTGGAAAGAGTTTAAGAATGACAACTATGCTCTTCTTCGGTAATTTTTTTTAAAGAAAAAAAAAAAAAAAAAAAAAAAAGCAATGCCCGCGTGTAATCCAATAATCGAAAAGCTAATCTGACTATCCTTGCTGTCGACTCTTGATAACATAGGGTTTTGGCTCGTCTTTTGAGCGTATCAAATGAACCAATTGTTCTTTCCGTCGCGGCTAGTGACATTGGACACTACGTCAAACGTGATCCAGGAAGTAAAAAGTATGACTTCAAATAATTATATTTTTTTGTGGCCTGCAACATGGAAACTAAAATGCTTTTTTTCTATTTTTCTTTTTTCCATGTCAGATTCTTGCAAGATATTGGAGTTAAGCAAAGGATCATGGAGCTGATGTCACACCCTGATCAGGAAGTGCGATACAATAGTGTCAACACGAGTTGGTCCTTGATCGGAGGAAGTGCTTAGAAACTTAGAAATGTCCTCTTCACTGAAATAGACAATAAAAGATATCGTGCATTGATCATGGAAGCAAAGTAGAAGTAGACAAAAATTTATTCTGTATCACCTCAGAAAACCATGTCCCAACCCAACATTACACATTAGCAGTCGTAACGATGGCAAGCCATGTGATCTCCATCGACTCCTCTTCTTTAACAAGATAACCAGTGAAATTAGCATAATTCCAGGGAGAGACACCGCCTCCGGGGCCGTTTGGCATATCGACTCATCCATATGATACACAGGGATGCACGTTGTTCAATGAACTGTAGCTTCAATCGTAGTAATCTTGTTTCACAAAATCTGACTTGTCTTCACCTTTCTGCAACTAGCGCAATGATAGAGTATAAAACCTTGGTGCAACCCCCTTCATGAGCCAACAAAATTATCAAACACACCCACTTTTTTCTCTGCTCTCCGCCTTTTTGTGTATCAAAAATGAAATCTAGCATTACTATTGCCCTCTGCGTGGTAATCCCTCTCGTCTTCCTAGCGATATCCCTAGCCTTTGTATATTGTCTACGGCGTCATCGAAATAGCGCACAGCAGCCAGCAAAGTTCAAGTACACAGTGTCGGAGGACCTTGAGAAGAATGAGAAATCTGCCAATACTGCTTTTATTACTGCCGCAAATACGGTAACAGCAGCAAAGACAGTAACGTCAATGAAGCCAAGCACTGCGGAAACCTCAAACCGACCATCCGAAAAGAGTAATCAACAATCGATAGGACAGCACCTTCAGATGAAGTATTTCAAGGATGACCTGAAGCCAAAGAAGCCTGACAATAGAAGGAATAATGTCAATAGCGCTGCTATCACCAGCGATATTATGAATAATAAAGAGTTAAAAAGCTATGAACAGAACAAACGCAGAGAGGCTCTCAATCCGTCCTCAACAACAAATACAACAACACCAGTAATCATTATCGACTGCGAGGACGATGGCGGCGATGATGAAGAGCCAGCTGCAAGTACAGGTACACAAGATCGAGACCAAGAAAATAGCTGCTCCAACATCAACGTCACCAACGATAACAGTGCTACCATGCTGACGCCGGTATCTGACATCTCTTCATATGGACATACGTCTCAAGCTTTTGATGTTACTGTAACTACCAACCGTTCTCAGAGCACTGCAACATTGGAGGTGCCATCCTATAGCTATAGTCATTCATCCTCAAGCTATAGCAGTGATTATTCAAGTAGTTCGTCTTCATCCGACAATAGCAGTAGTTGTGATAGTGGAGGTGGGTCTTACGATTGAAGCAGTCCATCATGGTATAACAATAAAAAAACTATGTGAAAGTCTTGTCCTTGCGGGGTATAAGAACGCAACTCGGCAAAATAAAACGTCATCCTTTTTTTTTTGAACAACACATACGAGCAGGACTTGACATCTGCTCGTTTACTCATGTATAGACGTCCATATCATGAATAAAACCCTGGTCTGCCTTACTGATGTAGATAGTCAATAAAAAGAAGAGTCAAGGCGCTACAATCGTGCACTCGCTTCAACTAATTTGATGGCAGATTTGCGATACCAAAACAGTTGATAACCAACAAAAAAAAAAAAACATTCTATCTAGTTTTTTTCCTCACCGTTTCTCAAGATAATTTTTCCATTAGCACCATATAAACGAGAGTGACAGCGACATGGTCAGCACAACCAACTTGAATTTTTCTTTTTTCTTGTCATTCCCGTATTCATATACATACTCATACACATACACATGCGCAAATGGACACACTATAGATCATACATGCACTAAATGTTGACTAGAAGGGGGCGGCGGTAATTTGTACGAGCCAGTGTGGTCGATAGCGCATCGATGCTACGAAAATTGGTTTTGGAAAATGGAAAGACTTTATTCCTTTTGTTGCCTAGTTTTATGGGCAAAATCGTAAATGGAAAAATAAGAGAAAAAAGTGGGTTGGCGACATAGGGTAGAGATGTTCTGGCATGTATACTAGCCATCGCTTAACAATCGGCTCCACAGCAGCAGAGAGCCCAATCACAATCGCCATTATAACCATACTTGGGGCTTTTTAGACTACAAACATTTTGGCAATCTGCGTCGAAAAAGCAGGTTCCGCCTACAACATTGCACCTTCTACAAATGTCGTCAGCATTGGTTACTGCAATGAAGCTAAAGAAGATCAAGACAAAAAAGAGACTTTGGATTTTCATGATGATAAAGGCAATTGAGGATCCAGTCAGGATTCTTGGAGACTCAGGGATTCTGTCAAAGGTTCTGTGGCTCTTCCTGAGGAAGTTAGAGTTGTAATGGCTGTGTGCAAGGGCTCTTTTGTGAGGACTTTTGCAAGTATTGCGTCAGGTCCAACGTCTGGAAGGAGGATATCTCGTCGAGTTGTAATGTACAGCATGAAAAGCGATTAAGAGCGCGACTTCTTTATATGTCCGGTGTGAATCTTTTACCTTTGACAAGGTCACCTCATCCTCGCATCTACGCCATGTTATAATACACTTAGGGAATGAGAAACATGGTCAGAATGAATCATTGACCTTTTTCAAGGATACCTTTGCTTTTTTGAAATCTGGCAATCACAAAGACTTGTATCGTAGTAAATGGAATCAGAAAGTACCCGATGAATTTTTTTTCAGGAGAGAGCTTTATTCTGAACTTTATTTAAGACGACCATTATTTTTTTATTTGCTGGTATACATGTATATATATATCATACATATACAGGAGCATGTTCACAGTCCATGTACAGTGGAATCTCGATAATTGTACACTTTTGTACAAATTTCAAATTTGATATATTTCTAGGCCATTGGTGGGCTAAGAGCCTTACTCTTTTAAAAAAAAGTATTCTAAAAAACCCACACTCAACTGGAGTAGAGGAATCAGCAGAGGATTTTTAGAATAGTTTTTCATGAATTGTGGGCTTCTTAGCCAATCAATAACCGAGAAATATAGCAAATTCGAAAATTGTACAGTCACATGAAAAAATTATACGGCAAAATAAATTTAGAAAATAATTGACGCGAAGATAGCATCATCCTCTCTCTTTCTTTTTCTCATTTTTCACAACAATAACAACTTGAAAAAACCACCATGCCTTTAAATTTGGATATCGAGGATAAAGCTATCATGGTTGGAATGCATCTTGCGGGAATGAAGGATGCGGAGATCGCGCTGAAACGTAATGTATCAAGATCAACGGTCTACACTATTATTCAAAGATATTACAAAAGAGGTACCACCGCTCGCGCCCCCGCCCCAGGACGACCAAGAGCACTGAGTGAAAGAGATATCAGGAGCATAGTGCGCTGCACAAAGAGAGAAAGGAGAGCCACTCTTAAGGACATCACCAATCAATTGGCGAAGAAAGTGTGCACAAGGACCGTTGCAGAGATATTGCATTCACTGGGTATCTTCAGCCGGATCGCGGTTCCAAAACCATACTTAAATGAAGATCATATGAAGAAGCGACTGGCTTTTGCCAAAAAGTACGAGAGTTGGTCCAATGAAGATTGGAGTCGGGTAGTTTGGACTGATGAATCGTCATTTGAAGTTGGCGAGAATTTCCGTAAGATAAGAGTTTGGCGTACGGCGGAGGAAAAGTACGACCACGATTGCCTTATACCCACTTTCAAGAGTGGTAGAACATCCTTGATGGTCTGGGGGGCATTCACATCAACCAAAAAGTCTCGGTTGGTTATATTTAAACGAGGTCGTAGAGATGGGCAGTGTTTTGTAGAAGATGTATATAAAGTTGAACTAATCAGGTTTATGGCTGAAGTAGAGGGCGGCATTCTCATGGAGGATAATGCTCCAGTCCATACTTGTAAGATAGCAAAAGAATGGCGTGAAAATAACAACATCTCTAGGATTCCAGACTGGCCAGCATGTTCTCCGGATATAAACCCCATCGAGCGTGTATGGTCATTTCTCGCTAATGCACTCGATAAGCGCTCCAGAGGACCAAGAGATCTCCCCAGTCTCGCAGTAGCTCTTACTAAGGAGTGGAATAATTTGCCACAAGAGAAACTGGCAAGCCTTGTTGATTCCATGCCCAACAGGCTGAAAGAAGTGAGGAAGGCTAAAGGTGGGCACACTCATTATTAAACCCATATAGTACTTTTACCTTTCATACAGTATATCCTCAAAACCTCCATAAAGAAACAAAATCGACCTCTTTAACGAATTCTAAAGTTTCATGTTGATTGATAAAGTCTTTGTGTATGTTGTCTATGATCTGTTTGTCAAGGGTGCTCAAAAAATTACAAAAAAAATAGAATTTGCCGTAAAATTTCTTCATGTGACTGTACAAAAGTGTACAATTATCGAGATTCCACTGTAGTTTATATTCCACACTTAAACCAAGCATTTAAGCGACTATTCTATTCGATTCAAAAAAGCTAAAGGGCTGCCCACATTTTATATCCATTTAATCTTAATTCAAACCCTTACATGTACAATGTTTACTCAGGTGGGCTGTAAACCCCAAGACCGTTCAATTATTTTCCTATAATTTCTTCCCAAATATTCGTAAAGATTATAGAGATAGGGTCCAGTCCCCCTTGTATAGCCTATATCATAATGAGTTCACTCTCCCAAAGTCCTCTTCAATAGTTACTCATCTCACCCATCTCACCTTTCAACTAGCTTTGCAGGCATTATATACAGTAGTCTTTAGGATAGTTCACCAAAGCCGAGCTGCCTTGGCTGGCAGCAAGGAGGCTAGCTTAGGGGTGTCCAATGACCAATCAGGTAGAACATGTACCATCAGCAATTAGATCTTTCCTCCGCTAATCTATGAGAGTGTATCTGCTACTGAAATTGCAATACCAGTGCGCCGTCCACAACATCGAATCAGCCACGAGCCTAACCATCATAATGCGACATACCTCCAAGGCGGTTTTCTACATGCCTAGCACCAAGCAAGACCCTTCCCTCATTGATAATACAATCTATCTTCTCACAAACAGACACGTATGTAGAACATAAAGGCATAGTAAATCTTGGTTAAGCAGGATTGTATGTCGCCGCGTTATGCTACACAAGTTGGGCTTGTAAGGTGAAAAGGCTTTGAACTCTTGTTAGCGCATATCCCCGAATCGGAATAGATCAAGTAATTGCACATATTTGTTCAAAATCACAGTATCTTAGCGTCTCATTTATTCTTTTTATTGACTAGTTTAATGGACAATCCTAAATGAGAATGATTCACCTAGGATAGAGATGTTCGGATGTAGTCTGCATTTTTCCTTAACAATCGGCTCCACAGCAGCAGATGCCCCAGTAGCAATCGCCATCGTTTTTGTACTTAGGGCTTTGTAAGGAGCAAACACCAGCACAACCTCCATCGCTAAAGCAAAATCCGGTCTTGACATTGCATTTTCTACAAACATCAGCATTGGCCACTGCGATGAAGCTGAGGACGATTAAGGCAAGAGAGACGCTTTGGATCTTCATGACGATAAAGGGCGTTGGGGGCCAGCTTGGAGGCTCAGCGATTCTATCAAAGGTTCTTTCAAATGCTGCTACGGCTTTCCTTGAGAAAAAATAAAGATCTTATTGGAATGGCTGTGTGTACAAAGGCCCTTGTAAGGATATTTGCGAGTAGTGCGTTAAATCAAAAGTTTGAGAAGAGAAGGTTTAGTTGAGTTGTAGTGTAAGGCATGAAAGGCGACCAAAAAACCACGGCTTACTTATATCCACAAAGGAAGTCCTCTAAGCCATATTTATTAAGCTTAAAAATGAGGTTGGTATGAATGAGAAAGGAATTAATGACCTTTATCAGGGTAAGTATGGAAGACTTGTTGTAGAGTACATGTAGCGAAAGGGACTTGGAGGAGATAACAACAAGGAGAGTATGATAAACACCTGTGCTTGTTGTACAGTAATAAGGGAAGATGGAATAGAAAGGGGGATCTGGCAAGAACATGGTCTTGTTGAATTGTCGTATAGTCGTAAAGGGGGCCTAAGAGATTTTTTTTTTATAAGACCATTATTTTTGTAGTGATCGCCAAAGAGGAAAGTTTGCTTACGAGATTCATACTTTCTCACTTTCTTGTACATACACATTATGCACAGATAGTCCGATCTTTGATTTCATGACAAATCTAACATAATGTAAAATGATAGACACATTATATCCATTTAATCTTAATCTGGTGCCTTACTTGCGCAACATTTACTTGAAATATTGTGTAGAAAAGTAATCATTAAGGCCATAAGGTTTGATTGTCCATGTAGCACAAAACGAATCTCAGTCAATTAAATAATCTTTTCGCGTCGGAACTTTATTCCGCATAGCCATCGTAGTTGATTGGCTCGAAAAAACCAGAATGCTCAAAAGTGCAGCAATGGAAGTCGTTAAATAACCTTGAACTGTACTTTCTATAGTCTCTTTCAAAAACGATTGTTAGGCCATAAGATCCTAATTGTGCCTCCAAGATACATGTAGTGCAACATGGCTTCCTGTAAGCAGAATGATCCTCCGCCCTGCAATTGCACATATCAGCTTGAGATCACTCTCCTTTCGATGGGAACCCGTTCCTTTCACCTTTCAGCTGGCTTTTCAGTTATTTATACAACAGTCTTTAGGATAACCGACTGAGTATATCATGTATACCCTGGTTTTAGCCCTTTTTTTTTTTTTTATTTTTTTTTATTTTTTTTTTATTTGATTTCATATCACGTTATATGATATAAAACTATTATCTAGAGAACCGCTAGAAGTGAAAGATGGGTATTTACAGGTGATCCGAGATTTTTCGCTCTTTACGCTATTGATATCACCCTTGAGTTCGTTGCAGATGTTGGCACTATAGAGGTATTGCGCTTCATATAGGAACTAGAGGATGTAATTGAATGAAGTATTTTTCCAGACAAGTAGGACGCACAAGTTTTTATTTATTCTTATTCAATAGCCATTACACGCTTTCTAGGTATCTTAATCTATTCCCTCTCATATCCTTTTTACGCTGTATAGGTCGGTGAATGCTTTGCTCGTGGGTATGAAAGTGTGCAGTATTTTTTTTTTTTTTTTTTTGTCTTTCATGCCCGTCATTTTTTGCTATGGATGTAATAGCCAAATAACTTCTTCTGGCAAATGCTTATTATATCTCTCTCTCGACACGCATTCTTATTTTTGCTTTATGTCATAATATTCATTTTGATCAACCAGTTACTGTTTACTCTTTGATCCTCTTTAACTCATTGCCTGTGAATATATATGATACTGTGTTTGTTACCGGCACAGGTTATCCAGTATTGGCCGTTTATCTAGACTGACCCGTTTAAAGAGAGGAGCATCAAGCAGAGCGATGTTTTAGCCACTCGAAAGAGGGAGAGCTCGACAACCAAGCAGTCTTCGCTGATGGCAAGGGGATTACCTTAGAGATGGCCATTGGTAAACCAGGTAACTGTCATTGAACTGCAATACTGGTACGCCACTAACACAAAGAAGCCTATATATCAATGAAGTAGACACGTCTGTCGAAATAACTTGATCACTATAAAGGAGTAATTTACTCACTGCTTCCCCATTAAGGCGATTTTTTACTTGTCAAGTCTTTTTCCCTATTAACACCCAGAATGGCAGTACAAACACTTTGAGACCTTTACCATTAACTAAATATAATAGGTTTTGTATTTTTTCTAGCACACTAAATGAACATTGGTACTCGCCTGTATGGACGGTGGTAGGCTATGTAAAATAATCTTGGGAGGTAAAAGTCATTGCTAATATTTATTCCAGAACTAGAAGAGATAGGTCAATTGCTGGCAACACATATTTTTTCAAACTAACAGCACATGTTTCTAATTTATTCTTATTCGTATTGACTATGTAGCTTTATGAGCAATTTTAAATGAATAAGGATGATGTAACATATAATAACGGGGTTGTTATTGCTATCATTCCTACAGCCCCCATTTCTCCATTCCATTCAAAACCTAGCCTCGGAAGGCTACAGAAGCAACCGAAGCTCTCTTCGAAGGATTTTGCCTGATACAGATTTGGGAATTGCCTCAATAAAGCGGACACCACCACGCAGCTTCTTGTGTCCCGCAACCTTCGAGGCCACATAGTCTTGGATATCCTTTTCTGTTAAGGCCTGACCCTCCCTAGGTGCTTTCACTACAAATGCAAGAGGCACCTCTGTTGCTTGCTCCTTGTCCTCGACACTAGTGACAGCTGCATCCAAAACTAGTGGATGATCCAACAACAACGCTTCTAACTCTGCGGGCGCCACCTGGAATCCTTTGTACTTGATAAGCTCTTTCAGACGGTCTACAATGTAAAAATTCTCATCCTTATCCACAATAGCAATGTCTCCAGTGCGCAGCCATCCCTCAGAGTCAATTGTCTCCTTGGTCCCTTTGACATTGTTGCGATAGCCCTTCATGACATTTGGCCCACGCACCCAAACTTCTCCGCATTCCCCTACCCCGGCGCCCTTTCCTGTCTCAGGGTCTACCAAACGAACCTCTTGGTTAGGCACCATATATCCAATGGAGCCATGGATAACCTTGTGATAAAGTCCCATGTGCGAGACACCAGACAACTCTGTCATTCCATATGCCTGACGGAATTGGATTCTAGGAAACTTCTTTAAGAGACCCATGCTCAGTTCACGCGAGCAAGGGGCAGCAGCGGACATGACAAAGCGAACGCTCGAGAGATCATACTGGTCGACAATAGGTGCTTTCACTAGCATGAGGATCTGAGGTGGTACCAAGTTGAGAAACGCGACTGAAACATTGAGTTGAAAGTTAGATTTATAGATTTTAAAGCCAGTCGTCTAAACAAATGAGGAAATAAATCTTACTCTTGTATTCCTGAATAGCCTTTAAGAAGTCGACTGGGCTGTACTTTTGAAGGACAACAGTCTTGGAACCCTGATTTGAGGAGAAATACCGACATAGATATAAGGCAGGTACAAGGAAAGAAGTACCGTATTAGTGTAAGTTTGCGTTGTTATACTCTCCGCCTGTTGGGTTGATCGACTCTAATATCTTTTTATTCTCGCCATCATGTATGCAATAAGCCATACTTACGTTATAGATGCCATGTATGATATGAAACTGAATGCCATAACTAGCGCAGTAAATTTTTCAATCGACAGATCTCATTTTTTTGTCAGTAACAGATTGTAAACATTAACAGCACCCATGACTATTCTGCTAACTAAGGCACAAACCAGTTGATCTTCTTACATGTGATACATCGGCACCACATCTAAGAAAGCGACTCCCTGTATGTCAATACCTCTCTCCATCGCTATTATTAGCATGATATTGGAAATTAGATTAAAGTGCGTCAATTCTACTCCCTTGCTCTTGCCAGTAGTGCCACTAGAGTAGCAAATCAGCGCGATGGTTTCAGTAGCATCCTTCCCCTTCAGCTCAGCTACGGGAGCCAACAAGTCCTCAACTGTGTTTTCTGGAGGGAAAGTAGCGCTATAGGGCTTGAAGCCGTCGACTTCTTTGTTGCCGTATAAAAAGATCTTGCTGAGGGGAAGACCAACTTTCTTGGCCCCTTCAATAGCGACAGGAAGTAATTCAGGGTGTGTGACGATAATCGATGCACCTGAATCTTCGAGATGATAAGCCAGCTCATTTGCAGTATATCCAGGATTGACAGTGGTGGCGATGCCCCCAAGAAGGAGTGAGCCAAACATAGGGATGGAATAGTCAACCTGGTTGAATGAAAAGAGCGCCAAAACATCGCCGCGCTTGAAGCCAAGAGACTGGAGACCGGTAGCCCAACGGCGAGTATCACGTTTCCATTCACCAAAAGTAACAACTCTCCCCGTCAAGGCATCTATAAAGATTGGATATGAATCCTTTATATTGTTTGGGTTGGAGGCAACAAAGGAGTAAACATTGATCTGAGGGATAACCTGATCGGGGATAGGAGATTTATAGATAGTCATGGCTGGTGAACTGGGTTTGTTTGATGTAGCAGCAAGGAAAGGACGGAGTAGGTTAGAGAAGATTTTGGAGGATGTTCAGCGTCCAAACGAAGGTGAAGAAGCGGAGAAAGAGGGAAAAACGGAGCAATCAGTGCCAAGGGAAGCAAACAAGTGTTCTTCAGCACAAACAAAGCTGCTATTACGGAAACATTGTCCAATTATTGATCACGAACATATTCTACTCCTATATCAACTGAGTTGGTAATTTTTAAAATATGTTTGCTGAGGACAATACTGATTATGGTCATTCGTCTATGTAAAGACGTAACAAGCCTTGCACCATTTCCGCTCAAGATAGAATAAAGAAAATGACATCAAATTGTAGGAGTTATAAAGCACTAATATTTGTAATATATAATAGTTTTTTTTTTTCTCTTCTGTATGCATTTATTGTTATACATCTAAAATAATGGTTCGCCCATATTCAGTTGGTTCCCCACATTTTAGGGGATTGAGCGATTTTTGACGGGCAATACAAGCATTTCACAGCTTCCACTTTGCAATCATTACTATAGGAACCAAAGGAAGGGGTTGGGTCTAAGGAAGTCGAGAGTTGCTTCCTTCAGGAAGCGAGGCACTAGATGTAAGCGAAACTATTAACCTACATCCATTATCCCTTTTAATACATCCCTGTTATTTTATTTTATCTAGGACACACATACAGTGCCTATGGTACTTTTTTTTTCTCATCGAGATTGGAGTTTGGAAAATATAGGCACACACATTGAAGTGTCCGAAATACATGACATTCTTTATTGCATATTTCACTGGGCTACATTGAAGATTTATAGGCTTGTGGCTGTTAGTTTGATGCTGTGGCATTTCGTGGCGGGACTATGTCACTTGTAACTCACAGCCAAGGGACTTCGGTATAGTATATAGATGAGAGAAGAACCATCGATCTTTTTCAGAGATATGGCAGGTATGAGGCCTTGTGGCTGTAGAGTACATGTAGTAAAAGAGTCTTAGAAAAAAGCTGGTATGACAAATAGTTTTATTGTATGATAGTAAGAGGCAGAATGACAAAGATGATCCGGCAAGCACAAGACCTCATCGAGCAGCAGTAAAGGGAGGGTATAAAAGGAACATTTTAGAGTTTTGTAAAGAATGATTACCAAGAACTAAATTCGCTTACAAGACTCATACTTTCACACTTCCTTGCAAATATATACACACATATATATATATATAAATGGAATTCGTTAAGCGAAAAGGCTTTGAGCTCCTGCTAGTGCTCATTCTGGGACCAGAGCAGATAAAGCAATTGCTGATCGCATATGTTTGTTCAAAAGTATAGTATCTCAATATCTCATTTATTATTTTAGTTGGTTAGGTTTATGGACAATCTTGGATCGAGATAAGAGAAGGAATAGCTAGGCGTAGAACAGAGTTGTTCTGAAAGGTGCATTGTGAATCACTTAGCAGTCGGCTCCACAGCAGCAGCGGCCCCAGTCACAGTCTCCATTCAAGCCATACTTGGGACTACGCTCATTCCAATCACAAGCGTTAAGGCAATCTTGATCGATCAAACATTGTCCTCTCCTGGACGTACACCTTCTGCAAATATCAGCATTAGCCACGGCGATGAAGCTGAGGACAATCAAGGCAAAAGAGAAGCTTTGGATTTTCATAGTGGTAAAGAGGTTTGGATGTCAGGTAGGACGCTTGGAGGTTCTGTCAAAGGCTATTGCGGCTCTTCTTGAGGGAAGTTCTTGGTGTTCTTTGTGAGGACTGGAGTCTTGAAGGAGGTTTGTTGAGTTGTAGTAAACGACACGGAAATGGCAGCCTTTTTATATTCGTGATGTGGATCATCTCTTGACAAGACTATCCCATTCTTGTACCTAGATCATGCTCTAATCTGATTAGCATGAATAGTAAAAGAGCTACTGACCTATGCAGGGACATCTTGTTTTTTTTTTTTTTTTTTTGACGTCTACGAACCTAATGCGAATAACACTCAGATGCATATTAGTAAGGGAGGGTCTAAAGTACTGATGTAAAGTACTCTTGCAAAGTACTGCAGTGAGGAGTGCAGAAGAGGCCGAGTTTGTGTAGTATGTGAATACTGTATTGATTTATAAATATAACAAGGGGTGACAGCACTGGAAAAATTCCCTCATCTTTGAGCAACTTGTCCAACAAAAACCCTTATTTGATTGGCCAGAAAAGTTAAAACAAAGTTTGCTGGAATGTGATACATTTATACTTACCATTGCTTGCAGGACAGGTCTCTTGCAGCTCTTTGATTTTGTCATCAAAAAAAACCTTATCCGTGTTTCCGGTTTCGCCTCGGTCGGCTCTTGCCTCGTTAAAGAATCTAGTGCTCTACCTCATCTTTGCGTAGCTTTTTTATTGACTCGGGTCTTTTTTGCGAATAAAATCGACATTGTATAATAATACAATAAAGTAAAATCAAGTAAAATTATATACAACAGTAGCGTACACAAATAAACGAAAAATAATATACAAAATAAAAATGCAGCATAAAAATAAGGGAGGATATCTTGAAGATACGGCAGTCCCGATTATTTCAATTTGCAAATAAAGAGGTTTCCTTCTAAACTGCCTAGAAGACACCCTATTCTCAGGGATCTCGATTTGATGAAACAAATTTTTTTATTTCCTCGCGATGGAATCTGCCCTTGTTGGGTCGTCTTCAGTGGGTCACAGTGAAATTGTTTGAAAAAGAGAAAAAATATGTTTTGGGCTTGAAATTTATCGATAAAAGAGGAGAGTCCCTTATGTTAAGAAAGGACTGTAGTTAAAATAGTGTAGAAGCCAATGTCCTATCAACGACATACTATTAAAGAAAGATGAGCCTTTATCACTACGATATTCTGTATATACAACTTATAATACTCAGTTCAACAAACTCGTCTACAGTGGATGACTCAGGAGCCAAAGCGAACTGTTTACGACAAGTAAGAAGTCATTATTGCTCGCCGAGCATATTTTACGTGACGAGTCCCTCTTTTTGCTGAGAATACTTAATTATTAATATATATCTTGATCTGATGAATAGGAAAAGAAGCATTTAGCGCTGCGCATTGATTCTGCTAAACTAAAATAAAAATAAATTAGTATAAACATTAAGAAGGCATACACGAGTCGATAGTAAGTTACACTAACAGCGCGCGTACATCTAGTCAATAATAGCAAACGTAGTCAGCACGCATGCGAGGTTACACCAGTTAACGTAATACATGGATAACAGCATGTAACACCCTTTAGTTCAATGCGAATGTGTAAATATTTCCCCGTTAATGCTCCTTGGCCGTGGTATCCTTCCTCCTACGCTGTCTAGTAAAATTTTCCGCACAGCTTCACTACCCTAGCTTCCTGTACGATGTATTGTTGGAAAAACCACCTACAAAGCCAACTGAAGGTGAACAGGACAAGATAAATTCGTATGGAAAGGAAGCTTTGGAAAAGTGGTCTCAAAACGATATGTACGAGCTACAAGGGGGAGGGTCATTCTGCTTACAGAGGCCCATGCTGTACTTGGAACCGCAGCCAGACCTTATGGTCTAGCAATCACTTTTCGAAGAATTGAAGGAAAACAACACAGTCAAGGGATCATGCAGTGTTTATGTCATGTCAAGCAAACATGGTTGTTTTTAGCCCTTTTCTAAAACACATTGACTCTGTTCGCCATATTCTAACTCGATACTATACAGTAGGGCCTCTTTGCTACATACACTTTGTCTGTTAGACCTCTTACTACAGCACTATGCAACAGTACGTTAGATCCACAACCAACAGGCTTTTTTGCATAGTCAAAAAAACAAGATGTCCCTGCATAGGTCAGTAGCTCTTTTACTATTCATGCTAATCAGATTAGAGCATGATCTAGGTACAAGAATGGGATAGTCTTGTCAAGAGATGATCCACATCACGAATATAAAAAGGCTGCCATTTCCGTGTCGTTTACTACAACTCAACAAACCTCCTTCAAGACTCCAGTCCTCACAAAGAACACCAAGAACTTCCCTCAAGAAGAGCCGCAATAGCCTTTGACAGAACCTCCAAGCGTCCTACCTGACATCCAAACCTCTTTACCACTATGAAAATCCAAAGCTTCTCTTTTGCCTTGATTGTCCTCAGCTTCATCGCCGTGGCTAATGCTGATATTTGCAGAAGGTGTACGTCCAGGAGAGGACAATGTTTGATCGATCAAGATTGCCTTAACGCTTGTGATTGGAATGAGCGTAGTCCCAAGTATGGCTTGAATGGAGACTGTGACTGGGGCCGCTGCTGCTGTGGAGCCGACTGCTAAGTGATTCACAATGCACCTTTCAGAACAACTCTGTTCTACGCCTAGCTATTCCTTCTCTTATCTCGATCCAAGATTGTCCATAAACCTAGCCAACTAAAACAATAAAAGAGATACTGAAATACTATACTTTTGAACAAACATATGCGACCAGCAATTGCTTTATCTGTTCCGATCGTAGAATAAGCACTAGCAAGAGCTCATCCTTTCACCTTACAAAACAACCTATGTAGCACGGCTCTGTGACCAGCTGTCGGCTACACTGGGGCGTACAAGCCACTGCCATCCTCTTTTAATCAAAATCTAGTATGCCTATATGATCTACATATGTGTCTATTTTCGAAGAGCAGGAAAAAAAAAGAAGATTGTTTGCGTTACCTTTGAGGAAAGGACATTGCTTGCTGCTAAATGAGTAAAAAACCGCCTTGGAGGAAAGTGATGAGGAAACCTCCCCTTTGTATTTGTATGCAATTGTTACAATGATAAGATTATTTCGATAGCCGCGTCCGCAAGTTGTTAGGCTCTTTTGTGGCCGTCTATAGTGGCATAAATTAGAGTAGATCTGACTAATATTCAATTGCTGATGATATGTGTTTTACTTGATATGCTAATGAGCCCCCTCTTTGCCATCGGTGAAGACTCTTGATTGCAGATCCCCCTCTTTCAAGTAGAAAAGACGCATTGCCACATGACGTTCTTCTCTTACAACGAACAAAGCAAGCAAATGACTGGCACCGGGCGGCTTGGACCGATACAGTGTGCTCAATACACCATATATATCCATAAGCATTGAATTAAAGAGTATCGAAGCTTAGCATTGACTGGTTGGTTAATTGGATATCACAGGGTAGCCCAATAGCAAAAATGGGAGCCAAGAAAAAGATGTAAAGAGAGGCATCTGATAGGAGAGGATATTTGGTAGAGGCATGTGGCGGAATAAAAAATGCGATGAGTGAAAAGCACTGACATCTGCCTGTTTAAAAACATCATTCTGTATATAGATATATTCTGGTTGAACTGTATATAATATCAGATGCGGGAAACAGCTAATGCCATGAGATACTATCAAAAGCGCTAGGGGGTGGTTCAAGAGCTGCGATTCGTAAGCGTTAAAAACCTACCATCTCCGATAAATTCCCCCATCTCTCACTTGAAGTAGCTTTCGCCGAAATGTATTTATAATATACAGTTGGATAACCAGTAAAGGGAATTGCCCACTGATTCGATACTATTGACATGACGTGATGTGATGCGATAAAAAGAAAGAAAAAAATAAAAAAAAAAAGATTGAGCTAAACCCAGGGGACATTGACAGCTAATTCAAGTGAGACTTTGAAAGAGCAATCTCACGGTGGTATGCGTGAGCTACAAGGCGGAGGATCATTGCTTACAGGAATTCATGCCGTTCTACATATAGGTTGGGCCCACAACGTGATTGTATGACCTAGCAACCGCTTTTGAAAGAAACTGTAGGGAAACACGGATAAGGTTTTTTTTGATGACAAAATCAAAGAGCTGCAAGAGACCTGTCCTGCAAGCAATGGTAAGTATAAATGTATCACATTCCAGCAAACTTTGTTTTAACTTTTCTGGCCAATCAAATAAGGGTTTTTGTTGGACAAGTTGCTCAAAGATGAGGGAATTTTTCCAGTGCTGTCACCCCTTGTTATATTTATAAATCAATACAGTATTCACATACTACACAAACTCGGCCTCTTCTGCACTCCTCACTGCAGTACTTTGCAAGAGTACTTTACATCAGTACTTTAGACCCTCCCTTACTAATATGCATCTGAGTGTTATTCGCATTAGGTTCGTAGACGTCAAAAAAAAAAAAAAAAAAAACAAGATGTCCCTGCATAGGTCAGTAGCTCTTTTACTATTCATGCTAATCAGATTAGAGCATGATCTAGGTACAAGAATGGGATAGTCTTGTCAAGAGATGATCCACATCACGAATATAAAAAGGCTGCCATTTCCGTGTCGTTTACTACAACTCAACAAACCTCCTTCAAGACTCCAGTCCTCACAAAGAACACCAAGAACTTCCCTCAAGAAGAGCCGCAATAGCCTTTGACAGAACCTCCAAGCGTCCTACCTGACATCCAAACCTCTTTACCACTATGAAAATCCAAAGCTTCTCTTTTGCCTTGATTGTCCTCAGCTTCATCGCCGTGGCTAATGCTGATATTTGCAGAAGGTGTACGTCCAGGAGAGGACAATGTTTGATCGATCAAGATTGCCTTAACGCTTGTGATTGGAATGAGCGTAGTCCCAAGTATGGCTTGAATGGAGACTGTGACTGGGGCCGCTGCTGCTGTGGAGCCGACTGCTAAGTGATTCACAATGCACCTTTCAGAACAACTCTGTTCTACGCCTAGCTATTCCTTCTCTTATCTCGATCCAAGATTGTCCATAAACCTAACCAACTAAAATAATAAATGAGATATTGAGATACTATACTTTTGAACAAACATATGCGATCAGCAATTGCTTTATCTGCTCTGGTCCCAGAATGAGCACTAGCAGGAGCTCAAAGCCTTTTCACTTTACAGGTGCAATTTATATAGAATAATGTAGCGCCCAGCTGTCAACTACGCTGGCGCTTACAAACCACTACTACCCTGTTATATCATAATTCAGTGTGCCCATACACTCTATATGTACGCCTGTTTGTGAGGGAAGATAGATGGATTTTTATCAGTATGAGAAGATCTTTCTTGGCAGTAGACAGGTAAAAACCGAAGTTGAAGGTATACCGCATTATGACCAGATTGCTTTGATAGTCCTTTGTAGTTCCTTAAGCCCTTTTGTGCCTGGCCTGACGTTGTGGATGGTACATTGGTTTTTCAATTTCAATGGCAAATGCCTGGCCAAAATCTAATTGCTGGTTGTGTATGTTCTACCTGGTTTGCCAATGGGCATCCCCAAGCTACTTTCCTTGCCGTCAGCGAAAGCTGCTTAGTCGCGGGCTCACCGGATCTGACAAGCATCCCAACGACATAAGAGGTTATATAACTCCAGGCTATCGTCTTACTTTCAGCACCTTGATTATTCAGCCTGGGCTTGTTCAATCCAAGGCGCCTATTTCGCGACCACTTATAGTAGCTCTTCCACCGCAGGATCCGACCCCACTGATTACTGCTCCATCAGGGGCATCATCTTCTTCCAACCCTTCATTGTTCAGTTTACCTGGCCTTTAGTAATACTGTACACACTTCAAACCTTCCATATTGCTTAGTGTTCTTGATGTTCGTAGCAGAGATGTGCATCCCTTCCGCCAATCTCATAAATCTTTGGATCTGCCGCAGTCTCTAACTCTCTCGATATTAAGCTTTCAGGTAAAAGGCACATGTACACTCGGTACCTTTAGAAACCTTATAGATCCGCCTCACATTTGGCAGTGGAGTATTTGCATATCTATATACTAAAGTCGAAATGGTTTCTCTTACTCTAAGTTCTCGGGACAGATGTGATAGAAATCTCGAGTCCCTAGACACCTCTCTTGATGGCTCTCTGTTCCAAAAGAGGGAGCTTGGTTTGGCCAATATCTTTCGATAGAGGCCCCCGTTCTAGGTTGGCAACTAGCGGAAAAATAAATGTATGGGGAGCGAAGGCAACAGTAAAGTTGAAAACTGAGTTATGACAAGAAAAATGCCACAGGAATGGGACATAGAAATGAAGATACAATCAATCTGAAAATCATTACACAATTTAGATTGCAGCTTTATTTTCCTTGTTCCCATTGTAAACGATTAGCTAGAATGATGTTAAAGATGAAGAACATGATTGAGGAAGCCGGCTTGCGCTATCGATCTCTTCATAGAAAACTTGCAACGTTCGGCATACCATTGTAGATCAATACTTTCTTAATGCCGGTATTGAGACTTTTTTTTCTACAAAGACGGCTGGTTTAGTGTTTGTGGCTCTTAGGACCTCGAGATGAACCTGTGCCGTGGCCAGAGACCTTGGAGGCATCAAAGGTGTCTCGAACCTGTTTTAGCAATGGAAGTCACGTTCTTCTTGTAGTATTTTAGCCTGTGTGCTAATGAACTAGCATAGTAGTGGTCGTCAAAGGGGTAGAACCCATCCTGGAGCGTACAAGAATCTTCGGCCAACAGCTTGTTGGCGGGCTATCCACATAAACTTGAGGGTTGTCTCTATATCGTCGGCGTCATATTCAAATACACTTACTGTATTAATCCAACCATTTTAAAAATTGAATCTCCCACACTTTGCAGGCAGTTCCAATTTGCTATATTTAAGGGAGGGTGAGATTGCTGTAGCGTTGGAGAGTTGGGGCGACCGTCCGATAAGTGGGCCCAGTGTGGCCCACGGCTGCGGACTTTTACGTCAAAAGCCCAATAATCTCGTTGGTATGACGAGGATGCTCCAGGAAAGCAGGGCCCTCATTCAGCATTTTAACTTCTCCTCTGTCACCTCGGTCAACAGCACCTCGTCTAAAATCCATGATACTCGACGACACCTCTTTATATATCGCGCAATGCGTTATCCACGATGGCGGCTTCTCAGTGCCTATTCGCAATGCCTTACTGTCTTGGAATTTGGAGGGCCAAAACCAAAGAACTGAATAAACACACCGTCTTGACTATCCTCTTGAGCCACCCTTCACCGACTTAAACGCCGTATTATAGGCCTCATACAGCTACATTTGGTGTGATATTGTTGCGATTAGCAGTCATTTACATGGGTTTTTACTATAGCTAAGATTTTTACCCTTTTTATTTAACGAAGATCCCTGGATCATAATAAACAGATCTTCCTTTCGTTCTCGTTACTTATTATGATCCTGGCATATTTCAGATATAAAGGACAAAGGCCACTAAATAATCAGATAGTGGCGCTAGTCGAAAACCAGGTTGCTCTGCAAGCCTTCAGCGCTTGGCAGGTGCTTCCTCCTTTGTGCTAGACCGTGTCTTCTTTATGGTAATCAAGTGTAATAGGTAGTGAAGACAAAAGGTGATTTTATTATAAATATTAAAACAAGCCTTTTATAGGCTTAAGGCTATATACTGTTACATCAAGGGCAGTCATTTGTTCAGTTACTTTCTCAACCTTCCCCATTTTATTAATGGACCCTTCCTTTATTTTATTATTATTATTATTATTTTTTTAAGAGAGACAGCACAATGGCTTTTACAACCTGCTCGAAGCGCCAATCTGCAACGTTGTCTATCTTCTACTTATTGTCTCTTAGATTGAGAGAAGACAAATATTTAGAATTGGTCTCAATTCAATAAAGTAAAGTGAATGCTCTTTATGCTGTACCGTCCTTAGGAATACTTCTTTTATGACCTCGTTCTACCAATGGGTTTTGGAGGCAGTGACATGTAATATATTGTTTTTCGCTTGGAGATCGCCTTTATGTCTGGCAAGAGTAAATAAATCATTTGACCAGGTTTGAACCACGTTGCAAAAGCTGTGGATCTGATATGCCCATTATACGCATACTTCTAAATTATTACAACCAATTTTGATAATCGTCTTTCCTTTTACCCTCACTCTTAGCTGATATAGTAACGTCTTTGCATTAAAAGCAAATAGCATTCAAGTTATTGGTGAAGCTGACAAGATCAGGAGCAACCATGCTCTACATTCTCATGACAGTTCATTGAGGTTTTTGATAAAAAAAATAAAAAAGCGTTGTTAGAGCAGGGTCTATTGTGAGCCTGTAGTAATACGCGTTGTCAAAATAAAACACTTGCTTCCTTCTCCTTAGGCCCTCTGTTTTATCCGTTTCCCTTTCGTCATCCATAGTCAATTGACTTCTTTGGAACCTTTCTTTTCTTTAATCTACTCGGTTTTTTAACTCTATTTTCTTTCTTCATAAGCTGTTCCTCAGGGCTATGATTGGGTAAATAAGTTCAACTCACAAATATCGGTACATTTGGGGTTTCAAAATTGAGCATTTGGCCAAATAAATAGGCGCCTATTTGAAAATACATCAGCCCTCGAGCTGGTGTATTTGGGTGTCCCATTTTGGCAAATAAATTTTTTCAAATAAACCGCAAAATGTCCAATTTTGAAACCCCTATTAAGAGCTAAAGGTACACATTGCTGCATTCACACGGATAATGTTCTTAGATAGGTCGTGTTTAATTGCTTCTAAGATGGGTATACTCGGATTAAGTTCTCCTTGCTCACTGAGACTCAAAGTGTCGATAGTTATTTGCTTCTCGGGATCGGATGGGGTGGATACCCTTCAAAAAGCAAGATCATGTAGATCAACATTCTTGAAAGAACTGGGATTCACAGCCTTAATGGCGTCCTTGAGGCCATTAACATTGTCCTCAGGAGAGAACATGTATTTAAAAGTATTTATTAAGACCTCTCCATCACAAGGCGAAGCATCTTAGTTAATGTGCCAACCATGGTGGACGGCTGCTTGGTTGAAAATTTTATTTGCTGAGCTAACTGGTTGCCAATTCATTTGAGAGTCCGGAGGTTATATGAAAAACATGCAAATGAAGAAACCTATACTCTTCCTTCGCCTCGTTAGTTATTACTGATGAATATCTCACCAATTTCTTAGCTACAGTTAATTCGAGCCACAGCAATGTTCAAAAGTGGACGAGATGGATGATACTCTTTATTATGATCTTTAATTAAATAAAATAACCTCCCTCCCCCTTCGCCATAAATAAGAGGATCGAGGAATAGTTTACCAACCAAGAACGATATAGAAAACCACTCCTTTTTTCTTTTTCTTCACAGCCAATGTTCAATCGTAACCGTCTAATCCACTTCGATTAGATAAGATTTTATTGTATTTTACAGAGCCCAACCAAGCCCAATTATGAAGGAACACTTTACAAAAATCTTTAAAGATTGGGTATGAGGAGAACCTTGTTTTGAGCATGGATTTTTTTTTTTTTTTTTTTTTTTTTGAATGTCATTACGAAAGACCATAGAAGGAGTTATCGACAAGCCTTCCTAGTTGAATCTACGACGCTTAGCACCCAAAACCTTTGTCTTTTCTTTTGCAGAGTTTCTCTTCCGCCTCTTTTCCATCGCCCGCGCCAAAGCCTTTGGATTATCTTTAAGATGCTGGAATTTGTCGATGAGCTCCAGCTTCTTTTGATCTGACTTCTTCAAGAAGAACGGGTTCTTGCCCTTTGCGATCAATTCCTTTTCTTTACGCTTATGCTCTCGTTTAATCTCCTGCCTACGTTTCTCAGAAGCCTCTGTTGCCTGTCGATCCAACATGCGACTCAACTGCCGTTGTAATTTCTCTTTTGTTTCAGGATCACGCGCCTTCTTGATCGACTCCTTTAGTTTCTTCATTTCGTCCGCTTGATAGTCTTTGAGGAATGAGTACGATTTTTCGAACAGATCTGTGTCCAATTTCCCGCTCAGACTGTCAAATCGAGGATCACGACGTTTCTATTTTTTTTTTTTTTTTTTTTTTTTTTTTTTTGGAAGCACCATTTCCTATAAGTTTTTTTTTTTTTTTTTTTTTTTTTTCAAGCACTTATGTAATCCACACGATACTTAAAGGATTTGTGTACTAAAAGGCATACCACAGTTGGAACTTCTACAACCTGACGGAAGCGTCCTACAGGCTTTTTTGATCCAATTTCCATAGGTCTTTTTTTTTTTTTTTTTTTTTTTTTATAAAATTAATAGTAGAAGCAGAGCATTGGTCAGATCCTCGTCACATTGAAAATGAGCTGGAGTTGCTTTATGATCCATCTAATCCATCCCTTACCTATTTTTATCCGTTCTCTTCTCAATAATCCTGCGTTGTTTCTTATCCATTTTTTTCTGAGGTGTCTCTTCATCATCATCGCCGTCATCATCGTCATCATCGTCATCATCATCACTATCATCGTCATCATATGTTTGAGGCTTCCGCTGAGATCCTTTGTTTGTTGTAGATGTAGATGTATGTGTGCTCTTTTTCTTTTCAGTTCCACGAAGGGTTTGGTGAAATGCTTTCATCCCAACTTTTTGTTGAATCTCTGCTAGTTTATCAAAGGGTATTTGAGATAGATCTATCATGGTTTGGATAATAGGGCAATTGAAAAAAAAAAAAAAAAAAAAAAGAAGGATGGTTATGAATGAAGAGTCAAATTATCCCTTGAATATATCTCTTCTTTGATGCGCGATGTAATCAAATAAGTTGCAATAAACGCTTTTTTTTTTTTTTTTTTTTTTTTTACTTACTGTTTTGGAGTTCTCTCAGTTCTCTGTCATTACTGTCTGAATCACTATCTGAATCGTCTGAAGCATCAGAACCCTCTTCGCTATCGTCAGAATCTTCTTCTTCCTCTTCCTCGTCTTCTTCCTGATCATCCTCCTGGTCATCCTCCTGGTCATCTTCCTCTTGACTGTCCTCTTGACTCGCTTCACCATCATCATAATCCTCTTCATTAAATATTTCCTGATCACTTTTATCACTGTCCTCTTGATCCAGATCACTATCGTTCTGATCAAAGGTTTGCATACGTCTCTAGATATATATATATACATGTGTTTGTTATGTTATTTAAAAGAATTCGGAAATGATTGTTAATCAGTATAAGTTTCGTCCACAACATACCAATGCTCTTTCTTCTGGGTCTTCTGCCTGTGCCTTCTTGTGTCTAAGCGCCATTCTTGTTCAAGTATGTAATGCCAACTGGTGTTTTGAAATGAACTTTTTTTTTTTTTATTTTTTTTTTAGCCTTTACAAAAGCCACGTTGCACACGATTCAAAACATTTCGAATTCCAACTGTCACAAAATTCTTGCTTTAACAGTTTTGCTCTTTGCTTGTCCATGGAGCACATGTTCTCATGGCCGACTTTGACGATGAATTGAACGGATACCTGCAGGCACGGACAGCCTCAGAACAGAAAGAAAAACAAGACATTGCTGCTGCCAATGCCGCTGCAGATGCGCTTTTTGGAGCTTTTACATCTAATTCTACATCTACTACCGCGACTACTACTACTTCTACTGTTATTGGCGATGGTTCGTCCTCTCCTTTCACTTTTCCACACCCAGATGGGTTCCAAGCAACAAAGGACCAACCTGCATTTGCATTCCATGCAGCAACTCAATTATGGCATGACGCCTACACAGGCACCTACTCATATTACGATGCAGCAACAGAAACCTATATCCCCGTGGAAGCACCAAATTTAAATAGCTTGAATTCATCGCAACAGCAACAGCAACAGCAACAGCAACAGAAACAAGGACAACAGCATTACTACTATCATCAACATCATCAACAGGCATATGGTCCTCCTAATAGTAGTAATATGAATGGTGGTATGTATCACATAGATCCTCATACAGGCTATGCGATCGAACTAAACCAATATGCGTCAGCATCGGCAGCTACAGCGCAGCCCCCAGAGAGCGATGCCACATTAAGATTGTGTGTATTGTCCTCCAATATACTTAAAGTCGGGGGAGTGATCATAATGGATGCTTCAGGTTTATCCTTTGGGCGGGATCGACCCTTGAGTGGACAGGGTAATCGAGTCAGGATGGTTGAGATGGAGATCAGTCGATTCCATGCGAGCATTTATTTGGATCGACAACAGGTTCATCCACATCAGCAAAGTGATGGACAAGGACAACTGGAACAACGACAACACCATCGTCAGCAGTATCAGCATCAGCAACAGTCTCAGAAGAAACAATATGATGAAGTTGAGAACGAGCAATATACCCCACAAACACAAGGAAGCATGAAGCACAAATCTCTGCCTCCCGCAGCTGATACGCCCAATAAGCCATCTCAATCAGACATGTCGACGGAGGTAGCGACGCAAAAAAATGAAGACGGAGCTGTGAATGACAACAGCAGCTCGGCATTTTTATCAGAAACAGAAGCAATCCTGAAGGTAGAAGCCTCGACATCTGGAACCAACGAGGGAAGCCATTCTAATGCAGAAGTACGATCGGGAGAGCAGCGACAGCAGGATAATGATGATGGTGAAAATAATGATGATGGAAGAGAAGACGGAGAGCTCCCCGAATCTCCAAGCGCTGGCGCACGAGACACGGGACTTGAGAACTATCGAGGAGAAAATAAAGGAAGAGAAATGGAGGGTGAGCTGGAGGAAGGTGAAGAATATGATGAGCCAGCGCAGATGGTGCAGAGTCAAGGTTTGGAACAGCAATATAAAGACTATCAACAACAGTTGGAAAAGTACCAGCAGTACTACGAAACTATGTTGACAGCGACGACTGCGGCGATGGCTTCACTTGATTATATTGACACGTTCCAAATAACGGATTGCGGATCAACCCACGGTACTTTTTTGAATGGGGAACGGTTGTCAGTACCCAAAGCAGCTAGTCAGCCCTTTGCATTAAAGCATATGGATCAACTTCGGATGGGCTCGACAGTGTTTGAAGTCCATCTCCATGAGGATGGACGAATATGCGAGACTTGTCAGATCACAGATGGGAATGAGATTGAAGTCATGAGTGATAAAGGTCATTGGGAGGGTTCGACAATCCCTGCAGAGAAGAACTCGCCATCGCTTGTGGGAGATCTTCGATTGACACGAGAGCAGGAAAGAATTGAGGAGATGAATCGTTTAAAGAAAAAATGGGCAGGACCCGACAGAAAGACGTATTTTAATTCTAAACGTGGAGGGGAAGTCAGTGGCGATGGAGATGAAGGGAGTCAAGGGGCGTCACAATACGTTGATAGAGCTGCAAAACGTCGATTATACAATCCTGATCGATCATCACCTATTCCTTCTGTCATTCCTGTATATGCTTCACAACAACAACAGCAACACCAAGAGATGGCGGCACAGACTAGTGGATTCCATGTACCGGTAGCCCATACCAACAAAGGGCATGCCATGCTTAGCAAGATGGGTTGGAAAGCAGGAACTGGATTGGGTGTTGCTGGTCAGGGTGTGGTTGAGCCTATACAATTGATGGTGACAGATCGAAAGGCGGGGCTGGGATCTAAAGCCTTGCAAACCCAGGGCGATGCTGCCTCACGGACGCCGGAGACCCCTGGTGAGCAGGCACGGAGGAAGGCACGAGAACGATATGCGCAATTAAAATGACAAACAAGAATAATGAAGTAAAAAAAAAAAAAAGTGAGTTTTGAGCGTGCCTTAATTCCCTACTCTATCTGTTCGCGATCATCAGCGGTGAGAGCAATGAAAAGAACAGCTGCATCCTATGCATGCGCCCGCGCAGAGGTGCCGCACTATATTTTTTTAAAAAAATTGAGCAATTTCCCTTTGCCCACAATCATTTAAAAAGATGAAACAGCTACGGTTGAAAAGCAGGAAATGAACTTTATTTCTAGACGCGTTTGAGAACTAGGCGTCAATTGAAGGGACTGCCGTTTTGACAGTATGATATTTTATGAATTTGGTCAATTATGATATGTATTTCTACAATCTTCAGTTATTATTCGCAATTCGTGGATATTTCGACAAATCTGTACGCAATTATACACCCATTTGGAACATCTCATCGTCTTCGTCAAAGGCTTTGGCGTCATTGGCGTTGTCGTCGACCTTGGTTACATCATCAGATCCAGCACCATTTTGACCATTTTCTCCATTTTCTGAATCGTGGCTGTTTCCATTCGCGTTTTTGTTGAAGTTGCGTTGTGGACGAGGGGGATTACCACATCGATCCTTACCATAGTTAATTTTGATATTGTCATATGCAGAGTTACGACGAATGCCTTCAACGGCCTGGACTGCTGACAAAATGGTTGTAAAGTTGACAAATCCACAATTCTTCTCTTTCAGAATGTTGACCAGCTCAATTTCTCCAAATTCAGAAAAGTCTTGTCGAAGTTTCTCCTCAGTGAATGAATCATCAAGCTGACCAAGGTACACATTGCGAGTTGCACCTCTTTGTACGGCTTCAATAACTTGGTGTGGCAAGGCATGGGCATTTTGGCCCCAGCCAACCTTGAGAGGTCGGGATCGAACGGTAATTCCGAGTGACGCCACATTAAAAAAGTTGGTGGCTGCTTGGGGATCCACAAAAGTCACAAAGGCAATGTGCTTCTGAGGAAGGTATCGGATGCTACTCAAGATTCCACCACGGATTGCATTGCAAAGATCTTCAGTGGTTGTCTCTTCGCTGATGCCACCCAGGTATACAGTTCTGTTACCCTCAGCTGTCAAGGCACCCATTTGCAGACCAGAGGTACCCATGCGACCACCGCTTGAAAAACGATCAAAGCTTGGATTGAATCCCATAGACATTGAGGACCCAAACTGTGAATAGTTAGACCCTCCAAAGCCAAAAGACCCGGACATTCCGCCAGGCATTCCTGCTACAGCGTTCTTGGCACATCTGTCCTTTCCATAGTTGATTCGGCGTCCAGAATAACGAGCATCGTGTGGCAAAGCCGCCACAGCCTTCATTGCGTTGCTAATGCTCGTGAAGTGTACAAAAGCAATGTTCTTTTCTCTCAAAATTTTGATAGTATCGATGGGTCCATATTGCGAGAAATCGGCACGCAATCCTTGCTCGGTAATGGAATCATCAACATTACCGAGGAACACATTTCTAGTTGCGCCTTGCTGGATAGCCTGAAGCACAGGACCTGGAATTTGCGAAGGCTTACCCCAGCCAACTCGGAGTTCGCGTCCTGCGAGGGTCATCTTACGAGTGTTGGCCTCGAGGTGGAAGGCAGAGGCTGCAGCTGCATCAACAAATGAAATAAAGGCGCAATTCTTCTCTGGCAACAGACGCGCGCTTTCCACAAGACCAGTGCGAACAAAGCTTAGGACCTCGTCGATTTGTGTCTCTGGTGCGATATTGCCAATGTAGACAGTACGACCGTTTGCTGAGCCCGCCGCAGCACCGGTTGGGAATGGAACTTGGAAAGGTATGTTGGCATAGGGTGTTCCGAAAGCGGAAGTCTGGTATGGCGGATATGATCCTGTCAAAGACATGGAAGGGTCAGCACTATATTGAGCACCGTATTGACCACTGCCTGACATTTGGCCATACATTGCCATGGCATTAGCACCATAGCTAGCCCCATAAATATCAGCAGTTGAGCCACCCATACCGGAGTAACTGTTGCTACTGCTAGTGCTGTAGCCTTGTGCGACGCGTGGCTTCTTGAAAGCATCTTGGCTCTGAGCATAATCGTTGCTTCGCTTCATGGTTGTAATAGATATTGGATTGTGAAAAATATGAGAAAAAAAAAGAAAAAAAAATGGCAGTAGTCTTTACAACGGTGAGGAATGCCCCTGGAGACAAAGAAATAAAATGGGGCCTCTTGATTGTAACTGTCAGTCAAAAAGGACTGATGACACGAAGGAACGAACAGGAAAGAAACTAAGGAACCCGGAGAGCAAGGCAGGACAGACGAGTAGGCAAGCCGAAATCAAAAGTCAAATCAAAAAAAGCAATAAAAAAAAAAAAAGGAAATACACAAAAAAAGATTGGTCATATTTGTAAATAAAAGAGGCTCAACACACAAGGACAAAAAAGCAAAACGAATGAATCTGAACATGCGAAAGAAAGACTCTAAACAAGTGTAAAGATTCGGTCCATATAATGCAAGGAGAAAGACGACAAAGAAACCCAATAAAATAGATGGGAACATCATCCTTGATTATTTAACCACCATTGAATGCATTCTTATGGAGGAAAAAGAAAGAAAGGACCTGAGTAGGGCAACATTATAACACTCATAGGAAAGTCGCCGAACAGAAGAAAAAAATATAAAATATAAAATATAAAATATAAAAATAAAAATAAAAAATAAAGTGAAAAACAAGAACATACACTGATAAAGAGAAAGGAAACGTTAAAGTAAGGCAGCAGAATAGGAAGATGTATCTGCGGCAGATCCAGAGAGTAATGATAGATGGTGGTAAAGAAAATAAAATAAAACAAAATAAAATAAAATAAAAAAAAGAAAAACAAAAGAAAAAAAAGAAGAGAAAAAGAAGAAGAAGGAAGGAAAGAAAGAAAGAAATAAAAGAAAAGAAGATTGAGAAAAAGGGTTTGACGAAGGAGATTCAGTTGATCTGCAGCGCTGAGAGCAACGGATAAGGAGAAGGATGGGGATGATGGAAGATGATCAAGACGATGAGTGGTGCAGGTCAGGTTCATTTAGGAAGACCTTTCGTGGCTTTGTACATAATTAAGGGCCCTATAAGTTCTTCCAGTGATATATGACCAAGTCGGTCATTTAGGCTTCAATGGCATCAGCATTCGCCTCTGACGACTATTCTCATTCTTTCTTACTTTAAAACACTGAGCAATGTCATGCGAATCTTGTACAGGCTGCTTCGAGACGACACCTTGCAGTACACCCACCTCTACTATCAAAGGAAGTATCACCAAAGAATACCTAAAGTTCGTCAAGGCAGCCACTGCTTGCGAGAAAACAGTTGATAAGAGAAAGCCTTTAGCTCGAGGAGATCATGAGGATCATGCCTTCAATACCATGATCAGTATCCTTGCTAACCGTCAATTCACAGCCCAAACATATCTTACGATGTCACTCGAACATCTTGGATCGGATAAGTTTTTACGACTGGCACGGTCACTAGCACATCATGGATTCTGGGGTAGATTGATCACCTGGGCGTTTCTGTTTGTAAAGGAGGACAGCCTGCTTCTGCAGTCATTGCTAGATAAACATGACCAAGAGCTGTTGCAACATGTGAACGATGAAGCCGAAATATTCGAGCTTTTCAACCCTGCGGTGAGTGACGTTCGACGTGTCGTGTGGAGTTCTGGCCCCATTCCTGGCTATTAAAATAGATCTGTTATTCTTAATAAATGTAAAACAAAAAGAGTACAAGAACTCTTAATTCCTTGCATTCTACTTTTTTGCTTTATTATTATTATTATTTGTAGAGGGCAAACTATGCTCCCTAAACACAAAGGATAATCGGGGTGGACGCCTTTTGAGACTCTTGTTCTTCAAGGTTGAGGAAAAGCTCCCTCTGCTTTGATTTCCTCTTTCTCTCAGATACTATTTCTGAGCAAGAACTCATAGTCATATCATTTCGACTAGTCAAGCCAGATTTATGTGATAGTGAATCCAAGAGGACACAGTGCGTTGACTTAAACCCACATGGGATTTTTTTAAATAAAAAAAATCCTGTTGCATTATATGTATATATATCTATACATGTGTATAATTGAGAAATCTGCACTTTAAAAGTATGAGAACATTAGACCGAAGGCGAGGACTCAATTGGGTTGTAGCTCACGATGCAGTTCGATACTGGTTCTGTACACACATGTAATATGAAACATCGAAGGTCAAAAGTCTTATCCAGAATGTAACACGTTCAGGAACGAAAACCCAACACCAAGCATCGGGAGTTAACATTGAGCAGGACTTTTTTTACTATCACCAAGCAGATTATCGACTCTGATAGTTTTGATGCAAAGCCAACAGACTTAAAGGCATGGTATCATCGGCGTCAAGAAGTATAATCATTAACTCTGCACAGTCGGGCCATAATTCGAACATAAACATACATGTCTAAAGAGCCGCACCATCGTATGTCAGTAATACTTACTCGAATGGGAAGAGAGCACATCCAAAAAAAAAAAAAAAAAAAAAAAAAAAAAAAAGTAAATTAAGAGGACACGTTCATCGGTATACGGTAATGGTCATGACTGACGAGCACAAGTTAAAGATTTACGGTTTTGTGTAGGTCTGGCTTGATTGACTCGAAGATGTCGTCGATCAAATGAAGAAGCCAGGATAGTCCAGCTTCGCAGAGTAGTTGAATGCGCAACTCTCATTGTATATCCTTACGCAACAATAGCGTTAAAATCTCGCTCCATGGAAGCGATTATGAGCATCAGTCCTCTTGTCGCCACGTTGACCTAACGCTGTCCCTTCCGGCCGGCACCATCATCGGTGCCAATGACACCAACCCCACAAGGCCAGATAACCCAGCATTTCCCGACACTCTAGTCGATATATCTTAAGCCTTAGGTTTATATATAAATAACAATATAGCGGTATTTGGGATTGATGATCGCTACGAGCCTTTCAGCTCCCGCATAGCGGCTTCCTTGGGTTTTCCTCGTTATAAGGCCGACAGGAAATAGATTCACAAGCATAAGACCATTTCCAATAATGATGGATGACCCTCATCGATTGCCAATACCAAGCTAATCCTTTTAAAGGTCTGTTGTAAAGACTCATCTGTTGTCCGGATCGAGTCACGTTTCTTTTTTTCTTTTTTTTTTTTTTTTCTTCAATGCGCACATGTGTTTCTCTCTTCGTCATCTTGCTCCTCGCTTCCTCCAACAAACTTAACACACCCACTCTTACCCACCTTTACTGCATTTATACAACTCACAATTATACACATTCGTTATCAAAAATAAAATCGGCGCCATGTCCAACTCTCGTCAGACCTCAACGCAAGAGCCGCCATCCGGCAAACTTTTCCAGTTCAAGCTAGTTTTGCTGGGTGTGTATTGTCCTTAATGAGCTGATGCATTTCTGCTAATCATATTTTTAATTGCTGATGTCTAAGTGTACACAGTCAACCGCCTCACTAGGTAAAACTCACTAACACAAAAATTACATTCTTCTGATTCCTCTGATTCCTCTGGGGTTTTTTTTTTTTTTTTTTTTTTTTGGTAATTTCAGGCGAGTCTGCTGTTGGAAAATCAAGGTAATCTAGAGATATACGTTCACGTTATTATCAATACTACTCAAAAATATCATTATTCTGATTCAAAACTTTTTTTTCTTTTTTCTTTTTTCTTTTTTCCCCCTCCTGTGAATGGATGAACTCTTCATAGTCTTGTCCTCCGCTTTGTTAAGGATCAATTTGATGATTATAGAGAGAGCACCATTGGAGGTAATATTACATCAATGGCGAAGACATGTATCACAGGATCGTACAAAGTCGAAAATAATGCAGCCGCGGATATGATTAGAACAACTACTCTTGAGAAGTCAACATATTGACTGTTGCAATCACTTTCTTAAAAAAAATAGCTGCCTTCTTGACACAGACTATTTGCCTGGATGATGCCACAACAGTCAAATTTGAGATCTGGTACGACTGAAAACATCAATATCTAATGCCTCTTTATGAGCGATAATGCTAATTATTAAAATTCTCCTCTCTACATATTTATCGTAAAAAAAGGGATACCGCTGGACAGGAGCGCTATAAGGCACGTGTACCTTCGTGATTTTTGAAAAATACATATTCACTTCAGCATCAGTCAGGGATGGACTTTTACTAAGCGGCTCTACTTTTAACGTCTTTGTGCTTATAGAGTTTGGCACCTATGTACTACCGCAATGCAAACTGTGCAGTCGTTGTCTACGATATCACTCAAAGCGTAAGGACCGTATTTGATATAGGGACATCAGGGACATGTATGTTTTTTTTTTTTTTTTTTTTTTTTTTTTTTTTTTTTTCGCGAAAACTAATATTAAGTCACCAATGTAATGAAATAGTCGTCATTGGACAAAGCCAAGTCATGGGTCAAAGAGCTTCAACGTCAGGCAGACCCCAACATTGTGATTGCATTGGCAGGAAACAAAAGTGATTTGAGCGCAAGACGCGTTATTGAGACAGAGGTAATAGACTGATGACACAGTGTGGCGAAGAACAGCTTCAATCATCACAGTATATTTTCTTGATACTGAAGATCAATCGTACCTGCTGCTTTATTTTTCTTCATGTAGGAGGCCCAAGCATATGCTGATGAGGCTGGTCTCTTGTTCTTCGAAACTTCTGCTAAAACAGCGACTAATGTGAATGAGTTATTCACAAGCATAGGTAAGGAAAATCAATAGAAATAAAAATAAAAAATATTTATAGAGTGTCAGGTATTGTCTATTTACCTTTTAACTTCGAACTTTAAAAATATAGCCAAGAAGATGCCTTTGGATATGCTTGCTAATCCACGCCCTCGTGGAGCAGGACTCAATCCAAGAGGAGTTGATCTTAACCGTGACAACAGAGAATCAGGATGTGCATGCTAAGCATCAATATTATTTACTATTTTCTTTCGCCTTGGCCGCGCCACTAAACTGCCTTTTGACTTGCCGCATTCAAATCTCTCTACACAAACCTTTTTTTCCTCTGGCTCGGATGCTGTCTTTTTCATCCACCCTCTAATATCTCGATATCGGTTGTGCTTTCTATCTTCACAATAAACATCTGATCCTATTTGACAATGCCTGCATATTAAAATATGAAGAATACATGTCAAATGCTTAAAAAAAATTTATTTGTTGCTTACTGTTGTGGTGCTCGATTTACCAAACGAGGATCAGTCCCTGTCCAAAAAGCGCGTGGATCATGAAGTCAGCACATGCAAAACAAAGTGTCGGAAGTCAAAATCCCCAAGCTTGATTAATATTGAGGCTTTGTCTCCAAGGGGGTCCATTAATCTGTGGATAATTTTACTCAGGGGTTTTGCGTAAATGTAAAACCATACATTTAATTATGCACTTTCAGAACCCATTCAACCCAAACGAAACCACTTTTTTCTTTTTTTCACTGGTTTCCTAATCTCAACTCCAATTCCATTGTTCTTCCCATTCAATTCAAGTTCTACAAACATTGAACCAAAATCGCTCTCATTCTTCTCTCCTGTCGGTCCAAGCGCCAAAAGTCGTACAAAAAACAAGTTTACTCTCAGCCTGGACCAAACTTTCGTGGGCCATATTTTGCCACCAAAAATAAAAAAAAAAAAAAAGCGCCTCTGCTCTTCAACTGTCGCGAACATATTTCTCTTTCAGGTCGTGGAAAGGTAAACTTAAATCAATCTCCACCTCGGTCGCAGAAGGAAGGTGCTGACTACACAGATATATCTATTTTAATGTGATGTGGCGCGATTGTACGAAAATATCCACAAAAAATTGTCCACAGAAAGAAGCTCTAGTTCCAGGAAGAGCTCACGAGAAATAGTAGTGAATAGTGTAACACATTGCGCGGGTAAAGCTAGTACATTATGAAGCATGCGAAAATCCTTGCTAATATAAATCACCTTTGAGCTTGTCCTGCCTTTCTCTCTACTTCCCAACTCCACCAACTCAACGCCAAAACACCAAGCTGCAGGCGCAGTCGATTTTACATTTGACTTTACCCTCTTTGCCTCTGTACGTATATTACAATCACGTAACCATCCTTGTACATATTTTCTACTGAAACCAGTGCTTTTATTAAACTTCTATAACCCCCATTCTGGTTATACTTCTACGTTAATTCATACGAGGGATTTCTATGCAAAGTAAAAAACGTGGTTTATAGAGGAGTCGAAAGGATGATTAGCTAACGTTACCCTCAATACTAAATTCTTCTGCAACATATGGACAAAAACAATACACTAGGGCTTTGCAATATAACAATCGCCGATTGCACATATGATGAATGACAATCGTATCCTAGCATACAGATCCGTAAAGGATCTCCGTAACCACACTAGCGTGGAGAATCTACAACCCGGATTGTCTGAACAGGTGTATCAACATCCACGACGTAAATCGACAGGGGATCATTCGCCCCCTTTTAATGAGGCTTTGCAATCTACAAATCTAGCTTACAATTCCAGGAATCAAGCCAGTGACAATGGCCGAAACGATCGCATCAGCAACCCTCACATCAGATTTAATGATATCAACGACACCAATGCCAGATCCTTTAATTATAATAGTGGTATCAATTATAGCAAAGGCAGAAGAAGCACCAGGTCACAAAATCAACAACAGAAGCGCCTTTCTTCATTTTCAAATACAAAATACAACCAGCCTCTACACTCTTCATTAGGCAACAACTTCAGCCAGCCACTCAACTTTCCCAGTCAAACTTTTCCGCGTCCACCACGGGCACCAAGAAGAAGCTCGAACGATAGCGCTGTTATTTTCAATCCTACATACTACAAACCCCCTATATCGCCTTTTCCTTATGACGAGTTGCTAACATATGATCCAAACTCATTGAACTTGTTTACACCCTCTTACGGCGCACAAAACTTTGTCTACCACCACACTACTGGCATCCTTGTCGATGACATGGACCAGAGCTGCAAAAACGAGATGATCCCCTCTGACCACCACCAAGATAGGCACTTGAGCTTCTCGAGCCCTTCAAACAGCTATCATTTACTACAGTCCAGCCAAACAGCTATGTTGCAGCCCTCTACCTCAATGGAAGAGTGCTTTCTGTACCAAAATCCATTCGTAGCAGCCTGGGGCAACTATCCCCATAACGCTCCGTGGGCACCTCAATGGATGCCAAATGTAGGCCAGTATGACTTGGAATTAAATACACCAAAGCCAGCTCCAGAGATATCATCACAAACAGTAGATACCAGCCCGTGCGCTGACCAGGGTAATTCGGTAGATATTGCTTTTACCTGATTAAAGAAAGATTCCTTCGATTACTTACCTATTAATATCTTTATATAGCTTCAAGTCACGACCGTTTACTTGAACAATTGGAGTGGTATTTTTCGCCTAGAAACTTGGCGACGGACACATATTTGGGTACGGAAGTAAAAATATCATGATCCCTTGTGTTTGTAATTCATATAACATACATACTCAGATTTACTTTCCTTGAGGAACAATAGTTTCTAAGATGAACAGCGAGCGCTGGGTTCCCATTTCGATAATTGCGGGATTTAAGAAAGTCAAGGCCATAACAGGAGATATACAGGAAGTCGTCAGTGCTCTGCGACGATCTCATGCAGTTGTGGTCGATGATTCGGGCACCATGGTCAAGCCTGTCGCTTTTGAAAAGCCAAGGACCACAATCATATTACGAGACCTTCCATTAGAAACGGAATCTGAGGTATGTTGGCCGTTTAAGTTTTAACGCTTCTTATATAAAGTATTTATTTATTCACTGATAGCAATGTTTTTTTTTTTTTTTTGTAGGAAATCGCATCGTTGTTCGCTGAAGCCCATTGCCCTGCAAAGTCTATCAGGAGAGAAACCGTTGGAAACATGTGGTTCGTTGAGTTTTCAACTGCAGCGGATGCGCTAGCTATGCTCAATTACACTAGAGGGAAACGTCTTCGCGATGTGCCTATTGCTGCCAGACTCAAGTCAAACACTTTGCTCAGTGGTGGAGAGTATGAGCTGATTCCCTTTTCCTTTGATGGTATAACACACCTAGCACTTGTAAGCAGATTACTAATAGTACATAAAATTATACAGTTATAGAACGCATTGCAAGCCAACAGTGGCACCTGATAGTCACGTTATACCAAGTCCCCCTCTTTCACTCAATGAGACTCCACCGACAGTTCCTTCCCCCGGCCCCTCGGCTTGTGGATTGGGTACGCCTTACCGTAGGTTCCCTGTGGACACCCACGATGCCCATACAGTTTGGCCCAACAATCAAAACCAGGGTAATTATGGGGACCAAGGAATCACCAGTCATTATATGGCAAATTATGCCCGTCCTCCTGGACCTTGTTTTCCGCATCAAGCATATGAGTTTGCGATGATGCCAGGGGTGGGGCCTGCATATTGTATGTCTTTTGCTACTGGGCTCCGATATGTCTTTATCCATTGATAGGAAGAACGACCACCAGCTTGGTCTAAATGTCAAAACTAAATCTTTGCATTTCTCCCTTCTTGCATTAGTCCCTGATGTGCCAGTATGGATGCCAACTCCAGCCATTGTTATACCGCTTCAGGACCCCAATGTGGCTCAGTGGAGTGTTGAGCAACAGATGCAGCAGCATAATCAGGCCCACGACGATCCTGGGCAGTGTCAAGGAAGAAACGGTGAGTTTGATCCCTGTGTTACTCATGCACATGGAGGAGACGTCCACAATATGGCGTACTTCACGGATGTAAAAGACGACCCAAAGCCCCCTGGTGATAGATCGGGGGAATGGTCACCTATGTATAACAGACGGCCTAATTATCATGGATATCACCGCCGACGTTCTTGGCAACAATCATGCAACCGTAGTTCCCAAAACTCTCAACAGCATGAGCGCCCAGATCACTATGTGAATCGAAGGCTAGAGCATCATGATGCGCCCAATGGTACCCATGGGCCTCGTAATCAACTTAAGAACCAGGTTGAGCCAGAAGGAAGGCAGAGTCAATTGCCTCCCAAGTCGAGCAACATTTCTACACCTCCTAAAGATTCAAAACTCAAAGCAGACGATCAGTTAAACCTTTCAATGATGGGTTCGAAGAAGAAAAGGTCAAAGAATAAACCTTCGAAAAACCGTCGACGACACGATGAGGAGCCTAAAGAGCTTTTAGAGCCTACTGAGGATCAACTGTTTACTAATGAGGATAACGCACGTTTCCTCGATACTTTCCCACCCCACAAGTTGGAAAAGTCGCCGAAACGCTCCATAATGGAGCCAAGAGATGCTGATGGCTATGGCTCGAGGAGCAACGGATGCCAGGACGATCGTTCAGAGCAATCGCAGCTGAGAATGGTGAGCTCGAGGATGGCAAAGCCTTTGCTAGATAGTTGCAAGCAAAGACCAGGTATCAGCTCGTTCAAGCATTAGTGTGAAGGCATGGATGCAAGTAGATTCTAATACTAACGACGTACATGGTAATGCCTTCTATCTAAAGATTTGGAAGTACATCGAGTCTAGAAACGAATAGTTTCCCGTCACTTTGATGTACAAAATCAACAAGAGGATTGACTTGTAAATATAGTTTTTCTTTTTTAAGGAAAAAAAAAAAAAAAAAAAAAAAAAAGTTGCAAGACCGCTGCTTCATCACGATCGGCTCTTGTCTTGCTAAAGAGTGCAATGCTTTGCTCCGTTAGGACAGTAGAAAGGAAATGTAATCTGCACAGCGAACGGCAACAGAAGATTTTATATTATTGGATAGTGGTGCTGTATACATGATAAACTTGATCCGACATGTGGGAACTAGCTGTTTTTTTTTTTTTTTTTTTTTTTTTTCATTTTTTGTTTATCGGGTGCCGCTTTTTGTTTCAACAGCTCTAGTAAATTAGTGTTAAATCAGTGATATTCACCGACCCTAAGGTTGCCGGCATTAATAGGGAAGATGGGGGGTTCTTGGTCGTGCTTATTGTCTCTTGGGATGAAAGCGAGTGAGGTTGCAGTAAGCAAACCAGAGATCCGAAGTTTTTTTAATAATTTATTTACTCTACTTGTTTATGACAAATGAAATGATTTCATGAAGCCATATAATGGACTTCTGAACAATCAGCCAATCGCGCCGCAGCTTGTTCGGGCGTGAGATCACGCTGGGCTTGAGCAAGGAGCTCGAACCTGGATCAAAGAGTTTAGAAATGGTAGAAAAAAATACGAGTTTGCAGAGTTAGCAAATATCTTTTTATCTTTTCTGCTAGAAAAAAAAAAAAGAAAAAAATAAAAACCAAACTCCTTATTGTCATACCCCACAAGAAACTTCTTGACTGTGGCACTTCTAAGCAGAGGCGGATAAAAGTGCAAGTGTAAATGGGACAAAGTCTCGAATTCCTTATTGTCACCCGTTGGGGATTGATGGATCCCCATTGAGTATGGGAAGGAGCATCGGAAGAGATTATCGTATCTGCAAGTTATCCTTCGTAGGATATTGGCTAAATCCTGTTGTTCTGTGGTTGATAGATCAGAGAGGCGTGGGGCGTGGGATTTGGAGATGATGAGGGTCTCAAAGGGCCAAATAGCCCAGAATGGAACGACACATATGAAGCTGTCATTCTCACAAATAATGCGTGATCCCTGTGGGGTCCTCGTGTTGGACGTTGTAGTTGCTGTTGTCGCTGCTGCTCCTGCTTCTGATATGTTTTTTGCTGCAAGATCAGCTTTCTTTTCTGTATTGACATAATCACAAAGCAAGCATCGGTGATGTTTAGCTTGATAGGCCTTCATATTGACTAATTCCTGACTGGTCTCTTGAGGAATATCTTCTGTAGCCCAAACCTGTCCATGTGGGTGCGGATTGGAGCATCCCATGACAGCACCCTTGTTTTCAAAGATCTGGACGTGGTTGATAAATGGCTTGGATTGAAGATCTTTATAGATGCTGATCCACGCATGGATCACAGGTAGGATTTCCGATTCGGACATTTCAGCCAAGGTTTTGGCATGATTAGGAGTAAAGCAGATAACATGGCATTGTCCACGGACGGATTGAACTTGAAGCAAAGGGTTATCATCTTATTGGAAAAAAAAAAAAAAAAAAAAAAAAAAATGGTGGCAATGCTAAGTCCGAGTTAATATTTTTTTTTTTTTTTTTTTTTTTTTAACACGTTGTTTATGCAGAAGAAAGGATTCTTTGATACCTTCAGAAGTATCATCTAAAGGTGGTTGATCATCTCGGACAGCAGGGAAATCATTCTCAAAAATAAAAGTGTCTTTATAATCTGGGTTTTTCTTGTCTCCATTGGCGCGCGAGTTGTTGGGGCAGAGATAGCACTGAGGATCATATGTTGGCCTAGCAGGCGCGTCACTGTCCTCTTCTTTGCCTTGCCACGGACGCTGAGTTCGGTGTGGAGAACAAAGGACCCATGAGTTTGTTAAGGGATTATATCGTCTATGGGAGTGATGAGAAAAGTCAAAGGAATTCATTATTTGAATATGAGCTGGACGGGTAATTTGGAGAGGAGAGAGTGATGAATGGATGGATGGATGGATGGATGGATGGGATGGATGTAATGCACAGTTCTTTTAACCTTGTTTTAACACGTTTTCCCACGCGACTTGGAGACTTACGCGTTTTTTTGATAAGCGGACATTAAAAAAGAAAAAAAGAAAAAAGGGAATTAACAAACACTTTCATGTTGTCTTTCTCGTAGCTTCAAAATGATGGAGCAAGTCTTGCCCGATGCAGAGACACGTTCGCTTGAAACTGGTAATCTTGCCTTTTATTCTTTTCCATTCTTTTTGATCTTTAGGATCAAGAGATTAGATGTCGATGTCGAGGCAGTTTATTTTTATTTTTTTTATTTTTTTTTATAATGTCTAAGCATCAGATCACAATTCTAAAATGATTTGCTGTTTATACCTCTCAAACAATATAGAAAACGTGTATATTGCTACGATCGAGCCTAAACAAACAAACAATGTTCTCAAGTAACATACATTTTATGCAATATCGTAAAGCATTTGATTTCATTCTTTCATTCTTTCATTTTTTCCATTATAATTATTATTATTCCTCTTATCTTGATACGGTGTGATATGTTTACAAGATTTTATCCGACTTGTTAAATAGATTTATCCGTGGTCAACTGCCTCCGACAAAAGATTTGGACCATTTAAAGCAAATCCGCAAGTTAACAGAGAACGGAGGTACAGAGTTTGTATAATTCATGTTCCCTCTCTTATTTTTTTTAAAAAGAAAGCATCCCCAGATCAAAAGTTTTTAATTTTGCTTTCTTTTTTTTTTTTTTTTTTTTTTTTTTTTAAAAAAAAAAATAAAAAGTGGTGAAGTTAGACATCGTACTTTGCCAAGAATCAGCCATTACTTTAGCTGATCTGGAGACGCTACTTACCACATTTGAGCTTGCCGAGAATGTCAGGCCAAGGATCCATGGTGTACCCAAGTTTCCACCATTGACCCGAAATCAGTTTGAGACTTGGAAGATGGCCTGGCCGATTTCTTTTCGAGAAGATATCACTAGGTATTTTTCTTTATTTTTTATTTATTTATTTTTTTTTTTTTTTATAGAAATGCTCTGGGAATATAGTAATCCATATGTCAATCAGTACCCGAAAGATTAATTCCCTTTTTTTTTTTTTTTTTTTTTTTTTTAAATCGCTTTTATCCTGAAATGCAGACATCCAGAAGTCTCGGACGCAGAGCTAGAGACGATCATGAGGCATATGCGCTATACTTGGGAACTCACTAAAGATGCAGTATCAAAGGGAGAGGTAGGAAGAAACTAAAATGGAAGGTGAGATATTATGGTATCACGACAGTAATTTTTAATAAACTTTTTTTTTTTTTATTTTTTTCTTAAAATAAAAAAAAAGCTTCCAAGCGTAGCTGCAATAGTGAATCCGGCAATACAGCAGGTTCTGGCGACTGCATATGATACCAGGAACAGCACCAAACATATTCTTAACCATGCAGTCATGAACTGTATTGAGCAAGTAGCAAGTCGAGAGCGGTCAGCATTTGAACACCACATGAGGAACAAGGAGACGGATGGAAATGATGACGGTAGTATGCAAACACAGGCACGCGAATCATCCCCAGTATGTGGAGATAAACGAAAAGAACATCCTGACACCCCTACTGACAACACTGTCTCAGTATCGTTATCATCACCACTTATTGAGGGTTCGGCTCATAAGAGATTGGCACTCCAAGCGGGCGATACATTTGCGGAACAAACTCAGTCTGTTGCAACAGTCATGGTTGAAAAAGAGGATGATCAAGGCCAAGAAGTAGTAGTTGTAGTAGAAAGCGAGACTAAGGATGAGGGAGAGAATACGCAACCAAAGAAAGCATATCTTTGCACCGGCTATGATGTTTATTTGACACATGAGCCTTGCGTGATGTGCTCGATGGCTTTAGTTCATTCACGAATAGGACGTGTATTTTACACGATCCCGATGAAGGGTTCAGGGGGGCTCGGTAGTATTTACAAAATTCATAGTCATCCTAGCTTGAACCATCATTTCTTTGTGTATAGGAATGTTGGGTATGAGAACCTTGGAGTTGAAGCAGGGAGCGCTAGTGAGGACAATAGTATAAATGTTGCATGGGATATTGACCCAACAGCCCTGGCCATGGAAAGAGAAACGTGCCTTGACTGTTAGAGAAAGTCGTTACTCCAAAAAAAAAAAAAAAAAAAAAAAAAAAAAAGGTTATTTTTTATTAAGAGATGATCCAAGGATATCGACCGCTTGTTTAATCGCTCGACTAAAAATGCAAAAGAACATGTTAAATTCAGAACAACTTTGTTTGTAAAAAACAAGATATGCCACATTGCTTGGAAGGAAAAAAAAAGAAAAGAAAAGAAAGACTTACACTTGTGCAGCAACTGCTACTACAGAAGCCATGTCCTTATCCATTTCGTCACATCGACTAATGAGATCTGTTGTCTGTTCTACGCAGGCTTTGACCTGTTCACAGACACCGTCCACTAGTGTCGATTCATACACTTTGACAGATCCTAATGTTGCAGCCGCAGCCTTTTAATAAAAACAGTTAGGCAGTTAGGACTTGGAGTCCCATGGGCTGGTTAAATACACGTACTACTAAGTAACGCTTAGAATATTGCTTTTTTTTATTTTTTATTTTTTATATACCCGTTGGAGGTTCGCCTGAATGCCTGAGAGAAGTGCTTCAAGCTGTGAGGAGAGCTGTAGTGCAGACTGTTCCATGTCCTCAAGTAGAGACACATCGATGGGTATTGAATTGCCAATCGTCATTTCTAGAGTCAATCTTTTCTGCAGATTCGTAACAGTGATTCTGGATGTCTTGGACAAAACTGTATATTTAATTTGAACTTGTGAAACAATGTAAGAACAGCCTCTACAAAAGGTCCCCCTGTAAAAATTTATGGTCGCATACTCATGAGAACGATTTCTCAAGTCGTCTTTCTTTTGCTGATGAACACGATATGAAACCAGACCAAAATAAATGCCACACAGCTGGTTCAAGGAAGTGATGCTCCATCCAATCACTAACAGGGAACTCTCAAAGTCCTTCCTGATTACTGTTGAGGATCCCTGACGACGTCGTTCATAATCGATAACATGGCCTGGACTTGTTTGCAATTATAAAGTTACAGGCAGAGTTAGTTTGGATGCATGTTGGGAGGACTCTACCGACCTAAAACATTCGCACCAAGAACCAAGGGTAACGGAGAGGATATGAATACCGAATAAACAGCCAACAGCCGAATGTCCTCTCCTATCCTTGAGCGGCAAGCTAAGCAAAGAGTTCATTCTAGTCAATGTAGCCACACTCATCTTTTAAAGCAGGAGCATCTCATTCGAAAAGCCAATGCGTTCTTGATAAAATAAATAGTTGGAAATTCATCGTTTAAATGATCAATCTTTATTACGATCTTGGCATTGTCACTAGCAATGTAGATATGCTTTTGGAAAGCGCATGTTCAAAGACTTACATCATTTATATCAGTTCATCGAGCGACAATGGGTTTCTTCCAGTCATTCGAAATATGGTGTGCTTTGAATAAAGAATTCACGAAGGCAGGTACAGAAAAGCCATCCAATACTCCTCTGGAATGTTGTCATTTTGGAATCTAGTCTCCCCAATATATCTCTTCTTGTTCTGTAGTGCTTCAGCAGTTGGATATTCAGATCTGCCGACATTAATTCTTCTCCAGATAGGCCTGATAAGTGCACTATGAAGTCTTGGAGACGCGGATACAGCCTAAGTGCCATTTTTATCGAACAAGTCGCCAATGAGCGTGAGAATTTCTGGAACATTTAAGGGACTTCTTTTAGTGCTATTCATGTTACAAAGAGATGATGCTGGGGTGAGGTTCGACTGGCCATATTTCAAGTCTTTTTCAGTCCTGCAGTACCAATTGCTGCTAGTGTCCTGCTTGACTTTCCTACTTCGGCCTTTTTGAAAACACTCGTTACTAGAGATGAAAAAATATAAGCAAGGGAGATTCCAGCGAGCAGGAGTATTATGGATCCTGAGAGAGACATGAGACTCTATGAATCTGGACGTGCAACAAGGTGGTGAACTCAATATTTGGTTCATAGTTCCTTCTTGAAGCTGCTTTTAAAAAATGAAATATTTAGTAGACAGTTCCGAAACCTATAACCGAAGCCATAGACACATCTTGCTGTGACATTTCGACAACAGCACGAATGGTCATCTCTGGCAATTCTGCAGGGCTAAACGCTCTATTATCCGACGAGATTCTCATAGATAGTGATTCGAGTGGCTTCATTTCATACTTTGGCTCGACTCCTGATCTAACGAAGCCATTGTCTATTTCTTTAGCGTGGGCGTTGTCTTCAACAGGGATAGGAACTCCCAGAGGGTAAGTCTGTTTGCAGCAATATGATCAAGATCTGGCACTTTGGCCTTGATATTTTGCTTGAGATTGCCAACTGTTTGGTTGGAAAGAATATCCATTGAGAAGGTCTCCTTTGACGGTGCATATGGACTTTAGTTTGGTCGACATCGATGTGGGAAACTGTTTATCCATGAATTTTGCTGGAGGTAAGGGCTGCCTAGGTTGTGGTAGAAGTATTGGGGTTCCAAGTTTTGTTCTGAGACAACTCGTTAGACTTGGGTGCTTGCTAGAAGTGCTGAATTCCCGATTGGGATGGCATGTGATATTTTTTTAAACAACAGTATAAGTTGTATTTGAATGCTCGGATGCAAAGGGGTTGAATGGTCAGAACATAAGCATGCTTAGGAGAACATGAACATGCTTTGTGGTTGGAAGTTTTACGACCAAGTGCGCCACCAAACAGCGTAAAAAGCCACATTCGGAGAAGCAAGAAGCGGATCAAGGTCGCGCATTTTCCATTCATGTAATTCATTCTTTTTATTTTTTTTTTGCATTGTTTTACAACCATGATCTTCCCCAAGCCTACTTCATACTACGAGAAAGGATTCAAACGCTCGCCTGCTCTTGAGCGAGCAACCGCTCCTTTCCGTGTTAGAAATGCTCTAACTGGTGCTGGCATTGTGGTCTTTTGTGTTTCTGTCTGTATGTTTCTGTCCTTTTCCCCTATTGTTGTTGTTATATTGTTGCTCTAATTATTATTATTTCTCTTCAAGAACTGGATATGTATATATTTAAGAAAAAAACATTTTTAATAACAATCATATTCTTCATCTCCTTTACATCAATATGAACGATCAGATGCCTACTCCATCATGGCTGTAAAACAGGATGATTTCTCGGATATCCAGCTCCCTGCTCATGTTATCGCTCAGCAAAAGGATGCTGCTGCTGCTAAAGCTGCAGCATCAACACCAGCTTCAACACCATCCTCGTCTTCTTCATCAGTATAGAACAAAGCACCAAAAGCATGGATATTAACATAAAAGGAAACAAGTTTAAAAATAAAAAATATAATAAATATTAAAAAAACTCAAAAACTCAAATCCAATATTTCGTACAATCTTCCAATTACTGCGCAAAGTCATCGTCATGGAACGACTTGTAGAAAAGATGGAAGAGAAATAAATGTTTTTTTTTTCTGAACGTTTCTGATCACAGAGAGGAATGATACCTGTGAATCACTTTCCCCGATTTTTAATGCTTATGGTCTTTGATTTGAGATAACCCATAGAGTCACTTGACTCCCTCTCCTTGAGCTTAGCTGCATGTCTTATCCTCTTGACCATCCTGCGCTTCAGCACTGCTTGCGAAATTGGATGTGCTGGGAACAAATCTGCTAGAATACTCTCCACTGTCTTTACACCAGCAACATCCCCATGCGCCTGAAATGTTGATCGAAATAGCCTGAGTGTTGTAAATCGAAAATAATCATAGTCGGTCATTGGCATCCATACAGGATCAAGCCAACGTGGAAAGGGGATATGGGTTGAGGGCAAGGTGTCACCGTCTTCGTCTTGGATGCCCATTAAATCAATTAAGTCTGGCTCGGATACTGGGGACAAGGCAGGTAAAGACAGCAGAGTTGAAGAGAGGTTTTCAGTTGGACGACCCACATCTGAAGAAATGGGATCAATAGAACCAGTAAAATCAGCATGATCATTTGAGGATGGCGGAGAGGAGGCTTGAGAAGGCTTGAGTTTATGCTCGATAGCTTGCCAAAGCTCACGTACGGTCGTGAGGTCCACATCAGCAAGCTTCAACGAATGTTTGAGTTGGATGAATAAGGTTCTGTCATCTGCCTCCTCAGGTTTGACAACAGTCGGAGAAAGATCATCTTGCCTTGAATGCTCATTACTACCAAAGTATTGGTCAAAATATGCATCGAACCAGAGAGTGTTCCCAACACGTCGGTAACCCTCCAAAATCTGGTTAAAAGATGCTAGATCTGGTGCGATTTCTCCTTTTTTACCTTTGTCGGTGACAGACAGCTGCATAGCCCGAAGCAACTTGCGACTCGTTGCGAGATCGCCTTTTCCACGTCCTTCAGATAAATAAGCCTTCATCACCAAATTGAAAGTTCTAGTGGTCGGTTGTAATTTGTGTTTCAACATCATCTTTGGTACCGTTATCGCTGCCTTTAAATTCCCTGAATTCCCATATCCATTGAGCAATCCGTGAAAAGAGTAATGGTCTGGTTGGACTTCATCTTTTAGAAGGCATTTAAAAGTCTTTTCAGCAATTCGGATTTCCCCTATCGCAGCTGCAGTCGAGATAATGGCGTTGTAGATGGTAGAATCGAGCTTCCACGTTGGATGGCGGGTTCGGACAAGTTCAAAAAGCGTTAGTGCAGTGTACAAATCGGATCGGCGGCAGGCTGCAAAGACAAGGCGACGGTAGGTGTGAAGATCGGGCGCGACAGAGCCACCCAGGGTATATCGGACTTGAAGGTAGATTAGATAGTCGGACGCAGAGAATGAAGAAAAGTAAGATGAGGCATATGATGAATAAGAGTGATTAACCATGACGCTGTTGAGTTTCTGAAAGTCGAGTCCTTGTGCAGCCCAGCCTTGTTGGGCTATATATTTTGCAGCACTCAATGCTCCCTGTATATCATGGCTACGAATGCATTGATCAACAAGTCTGAAATACTCGACAGCACGATCATCACCGCTCTGTTCCTGATCCAAATAAATCGATGAGAGCAGGCTCGGTTGTGACTTATCACTTGGTACACTAGACCAGTTTTTTTGCTTTTGTTCTCGTTGTGCTACAGCCTCATCCCATCGATCAATGATGTTCATAAGATCGCCTCCGTCTCTACATGCATCGAAGTGATGCAAGAGATATAACCGGATCTGATCCATCTCAGGATCCATGCCATTCTGGATCATCATGTCCATAACACGGGTTGCCTCCTGAAACTGATCTAACCGCACCAAATTTTGAACTAGTGGAATCACAGTTTGCGAATCACCAGTCTTGACCAACATTCCTGCTACAGTTCTTGAAAACAACTTCATGGTCTCACCTCCCTGAAAGGATTCATCCAAGTTGAGAAGCTGTAGTGTACGAAGTACATGTTCCCGCTGCGGTAAATAGTGCCTCTCTGCAAAATTTCTGATTAGAAATATGTCTTGAGAGGAGACTGAAGGTGGAGATGAAGTCTTAGATTGGGACTGATTCAAAATGAGCCTTCTATAGAGACCGTGAATGAATAGCTTGTGTTTCTTTTCCAGCATTGCCCTAAGCTCATGCCCCAAACGCCATTGACCTCCCTGAAATGGTAATAAAATTCGATCCAAAAATGCAATCCCCTGACTACTCAGCTGATTTGCTGCGAAAGCATCCACTATTGTCCCAACCAGCTTCTTGTGATCTTTCGTCCCACTTCCAGCCATCGCTACCACATCCTCGTGTATTTGTAATATGGTTTCAGGTAAAGTACTGTCGTTGAGGATGATGTGCGCCTGTGCAACAACCTGGTACATTTTCCGCGTCAGCGGTAGTCCTTGTGAGCGCATGTCGTTTTGAACCGTCAATATCCGTTCGGCTGCCAGTTTCCAAACACTAGAGTATCGGAGGACATGTAGGAGTTTGGTGTAATCTTTTTTCATAAGCTTGATATCCTTAGTAGCCTCCATTATGTGTGTCTGGGGCCCTATGCTAGTTGCTTCTGATAGCGAGGGTGTCGGAAGCGAATTTGATGACATTGATGATATCTGTACTTGTCTATTGGTTAAACATCTGTATTTCAGCCAAATATCATCGATGGATTTTCGTTGAGCCTGAGTTAGCATTCTCTTTGGAACTGTTCCAGAAACGGAGCCTATTGGGTGAAATGGCCGTGGCAAAGCATACTTCTCGAAATCTATGGCGTCTATGGATTGTCGAAAATCGGCTAACATTTGTGTAAATGGCATTGATGGTGATATGGATATCGACCTCCGTTCTGTACTACGCTTTACTGAATCCTCTGTAACATTTAAATCAGACTGTGACTGGCTTAGATCCAGTCCACACTGATGCTGAGAGATGCAAATTTCTTCAACGGACCCATGACTGGAGACTGATCTATTTGGAATATCCATTGTGCTGTAGTCGGATGCTAGTGCTGGTATAGGTTTCGCGAGACTATAATGCGCTCTTCGTTGCCCCATGAACATAGTTCTCACCCAGTGATCCATGTATGCTGCCAGCTGCGGGTCATAGGTAGAAGATGCTGCATGCTTCGCTAGCCATGCTTTGGAATGTCGCGTTATTCGTGAACTGCTGCTGGAGCCATTGCGTGTCAATGGACATACTCGTGAATAATGCCTGTAGTGGTGACAATAATCAGCCTGTGACAGCGATGTTGAGTGCTGAAAACGCCTTGTCGCAGATATTGAGAATGATCTTGCCTCTTCTTCTTGTTTTGCTTTTGTTCCTGAAACGGATAAACTAGCTCGACGTGTAGAAAAGACTTTTGAAGATGATGGCTGTAAAGCCATAGCAGGAGAAGGAAAATGGTGAGACTGTGCTTTTGGCGCACAGCCATGATAGTTGGCTATATTCAGGACCGCCTGGTAGACGTCGCCTTTCCTCCTAAGCATAGCAACAAGACTGAGTACGAAACAATTGATCAGTTTTTTAAAACATGGACTTTTCCAGTATACAGGTAATTGAGAAGGAATGGATGCACACCTTTAAGCAATAACTGCCTCAGAATGACAGGCCGCAGTGCTGTCTAGGGCAAGGTGAAGAGTGAAAGAAAGCTGGAGAATGGAAATGATTAAACAAAGTTGTTTATGCTGGGAGACGCATGGTGTGTCGCTTTCTACTGTGCTTTAATAGAAAAATGAAAATGAAAAATAAATTAAAAATAGACCTAAAGAATTAATGAAATGGAATGAAATAAGATGAAATGAGCTGAACAAATGATGGAAATGAATGGAGAGTTTCGTGGGTACAAAAGTAGAGTGAAGAGAAAGGAGATAAAGAACCAACTGTTTTGTTTAGTGTGTTCGAGTATAGACTTCAAGTTCGAACAATTTGACAATTTGGCAACAAGTGGCTTTGCGTATGATGTCCAGTAAACAGAAATGAATGTGCCTGGAATGAAGTGAGACAAGTCACATCACAGAAGAGCCTGACTGTTTGTAGCACAAGGACAGTCGCGTCTCTTGACGCGCTATCTCATGGTCCACGTTCAAAAAAGTGAACACTTCTTGTCTTTTGAAGATTATCATTCCAGACCCCGCTACTCGAAGATGTACTGGGGTCCCCTTACAATGCTATTTTTATTGATTTTTATTTGGCTATTGTTTTCTATCTGGCTTTCCTGGCCACATCCTACGCTACAAGCGAGACGCCATTAGGCCGAGCTAGCTCGGACTATTACGCTCCGGTTAGTTAAGGCGAAGCCATATGGTTTGCAGCCTGATAGCCTGATGGTAGTATGGTGATAAGAAGAGGGTAAACAGGAGAAAGAAAAATACAGAACAAGAATAATGGGAATAGGAGCAGAGTGAGAGCGCTGAGGGCTTCAGTAGGAGCAAGTGTTTGGAGCCGTCACTTTTTTTAACAGACTGTTGAAGAAACTCGAAAAAAAAAAAAATGTTTTTGGTTTTTTTGAAAGTATTTGACAGAAGGGGAAGCGTGGGACTGAAAGATTGGCGGCAATAACTGTCAAAATTTACATAGGAGAAATAAAAAATAGCACATGACTTAAAGCTTTTTCTATTTCATGCTCCTTTTCTTTGACCCTAAGCAGCAATATCATCGTTGAACTGTCATTTTTCCATCGCTGCTTTCCCCTACAGCTCTATTAAGGTAATAGAAGGTGAAGGCTTGAGTTTAGCAAGCACCAATCACTACAGCGCCAAAAAAAAAAAAAAAAAAAAAAAAAACGCCGAATTCACTCACTCTTCATTGCTGGAAATGAGCTGCGTCCATCGCTTGTACGACAACATGTGCTGCACAGACGTGGGGCGGAAGGAGGGATGGTGCAAGAAAAATTCCTTGTGCCTTATTAGTTTGAGGAAAATAAATCTGATGTAGGACACAAAATTAAAATAAAAAGCCTTCCTATTCCTTTTGTTTTGAGGGCAGAACCTCCTGTCATGATTGCCACTTTTACACAGGCTACAGACACGGGCCATAACTTTATGGCGTTGCAATGTAGGTAATGTGTACCTAATGTTGAGAGAAATCCTCTATGAAAATAATGAGAACGAAAATATTGTATGGTGACAGTGGATAAGAGTGAATAATATATGAATCCTTCACCCAAGCCCTCAGCAATTTTCTCCATTATTTATCTTTGCTGCAAACGCTCTTTGGATGAATTGTCGTTTTTTTACCCTAATGCAAGCCCTCCTTCTTGACGACTAAATATGATCTGGTGAGATTACAAAAAAAAAACTTAAGCATTTAAGATTTTGGCGGGTAAGAAGATGTATTTATTCATGATCAACGCTTGGCTCTCTTGCAGCCCCTACTACAGGCATCAAAGGTTTGATGTCCAATCGCCACTCTGCCAAACTACCGGGGCAATTGGTGTGTACAGCTTTGGATGTGGCTTTAGCATGGTACATAAGCTTACTCCTTTTTTCTGAGAGAGATTGTAATCCTTCGTAGGCCGGTGGTAGAGTTGAAGGAGTGAGGGGCTGTTTATGTCGAGGTATGCGGGCCGGTTGCTCGGCAGCAGCTTGGTGGAGTAATTTCCGCTCGGCCAAGGACTTGGACTTGGAGTGGGACATATGCACTCTTGTCGAGAAGAGCAGCCTTTGTTCAAGCAAACACTACATCCGAGCTCGGTTGCAGTTTTAAGTTCCGCTTCCTCCTCTTTCCCCTCTTCCTCTTCTTCCATCTCCTGTTCGGGTAATGCAAGCAGGGCAGAGTCAATAGGGCTATTGGCCCAGTCATATTCCTCTATTTCGGATTCCTACACACGTTGTGCTTGCAACTTCTTTTCAACCCCTCTAGCTAGCCGAGCCCGTCGTGCTTTAATGGCCCGCTGCACACCCGACACCAATCTCCCTGGTTGGAAAACAGGCTTCAAATGATTTGAGCCATCATAAAAAGAGCGATAACGTTTGGGGGACGGACATGCGGAAAGTGAAGATGGAGCACACGACAAACATGTGCCAGACGAACGTGTGGTGACCATAGTGTCGAAAATTGAGAAAAGTGAAAATAAAAGTAAGTGAAGGCCCATGTTGAGGAATTAGGGCAGTAAAGCAAGGGATCAGGTCCTTATAATTCAGAATATGTATTCTCGCATCGTGCATTATAGACGCGACCTTTTTGGTGCGTACAGTATGCAGGGATGATATGTAGCATCAAATTTTATTTTTGCCAGTGCTCAAGGCACCCAAAATTTTTGAAATTTGAGCTTTTTTTTTATTATGTCAGATATAAGATTCAGCGTCGCTATCCATGCATGGCCTTGGCTTGAGGGCCACTGTTAGCCTTCACGCCCTCCTCAATGAGATTTTCATTAAGCCGAATGACCCTCTTACATGTCATTCATGCTTTAGGACACCGATCTGGGTAGACTATAAATACGTCGTTCTTGAAGGACCTAAAATACAGCCTCTTTCTCTTTCGTGAGTTTAATCTACTACTTCGTATTTAATAAACAACATTAAACATGGCTACCGCCTCCACTCTAAACCACCCCAGCACCGCATTAACAAGTCTCTTCATAAAAGTCTTTGCCACATATCCTACAACAATTGAATCTCTCCTAAAGCCAAGAGGCTTGCTATGGATTATCATTACATTGTGGATCGCGAGAATCATAAAGAATGTAAGGATTCTAAATCCATTCTTTTTTTTTTTTTTTTCTTTTTTGAAGATAGAATTGATCCATACCCATTCTCCCATTCTTGTTTTGAAAATGGTCTAGTTGCTATCGAATGCATTCTTCCATCCTTTATCTCCTATCCCGGGGAACAAACTGCTCGCTTCAACATACCTGTTTACAGGGTTGTCATCACTATCTGGCAGGGGTCATTACTCCATCCCTTTGATTCATAAGATGTATGGGAAGGTGGTCAGGGTGTCAGGGTTGCGCCAGAGATTATTTCTGTGGCCGATAAAGACATGATACGAGAGGTAAATGAAAGGAGCTCCTATGTGTGATAGTTTATCAGTAAATGGTTCGAAGCTGAAGCCCTTCATCCTCAGTGAATGGTAGCATGAACGTGTTCTCATTGTTGAATGTTTTTCTTCTTCTTCTTCTTCTTCTCATAGATTCTAATAACAATTGACTGCCCCAAGAGTGCCATTTATCAAGGCTTTGAACTCAATGGCCAAGAAAACCTATTCTCAACCCGCAACAAGGCTTTTTATAATAACCGAGTACGTCTATTACCCTGCTCTCTCTTTACTCTCATGAATTACCCTGTTTAATATAGTAATAGCAATCCTTATCAATACTCGAATGCCTAAATCTCTTTAATCACAGCGCCGACTAGTCGCCCCAGCTTTTGGTCTGCAGCACCTTCGGTCTCTCGAACCCATTATACATGAATGTATTAATGTTCTTCTACGTAAAATCGATGAAATCCTCGATAATCCGGAGGCTGTCAAGAGTGAAAAGGTTAAGGTGCTTCCACCCGGTCAAATCAATATTTATTCTTTTATGATACGACTTTCGTTTGACATTACCGGAAAGACCGCATTTGGCCAGTCCTTTGAGATGGTTAAGAATGATGCTCACCCGGTTCCACACCAAATGGCTAAGACACTTAAGCGATGTTGTCAGCAAGCGTTCAACCCATGGATGAAATATGTGGTCCCAATAGATTTCTCTTTTGTAGAGTTTGTTACTGATCGAGTCAAGCAGCGTAAGGCCAATGGTGAGAAGGACCGGCGCACCGATCTGTTGCAGTATCTGACCGATGCACAAGCTAGAGAGCGAGAGAATGGCAATGGTGAAACTGGCAACGAGTATGAGGATATGATTTCCGGGAAACTGACAGACAAGGCTGTCCAGACTGAAGCTTGTGTTTTCCTGTAAGTTAAACGGTAAAATTAAAAAAAAAAAAAAAAAAAAAAAAAAAAAAAAAAAGTAGTGCATTACTCCAAGGCGTAGCTCTCTGAACGTCCAGTAGACGAAAGAGGGATGAAAGCTGAACTATTCATTTTGATTTTTTAGAATCGCCGGGGCAGAAACCATATCCATTGTATTAAATTTTACGCTCATGTTTCTGGTCAAGAACCCTGACAAACTGAGCAAGCTGAAAGCAGAACTCGACTTCGCAGCAGCTAGCAATCCTTGTAGCTCTTTACCAACCTATGACCAGATTCGTAACCTCCCGTACCTGACTGGGTGCATCTACGAGACCCTACGACTCCGTACTCCTCCCGCTCAAGGTATGAACTAAAACTTATTAGCATACAAGCATAAATCTAAAAAGGCCAGATACTGATAGGCAATTTCGATATTGATCTAGGTTTAGCACGGGAAGTCGCTGAGGATACAGTCATGAATAATTATTTTTTCCCGAAGGGCACCAGTACGTCGAATAGTTGGAATATGTATGGCTAGTGTTTAGTTCATACTAACACTTTTTTTTTTTTTTTTTTTTTTTTTTTAGCGCTACTCGTTCAACTGCGCCAACTTCATATGTCTGATGAATACTTTCCGCAGGTGAATAAGTACATTCCAGAGCGCTGGATCCCTGGTGAGTCGCCCTTCCCACCTGTACAAGACTTTACATATTATCCTTTCTCCGCAGGCTCCCGCAATTGTGTTGGCAAGAACTTAGCATTGATGGAATTGCGGCTGATTCTGGCAGCACTGATTCTTACCTACGATATCGAGCTAGTCCCTAATCAACGTGAGGACTATGTACACTACATTACGCCATCCCTAGCCACAGGGAAATATATCATCAAGATGAAGAGGCGGCAAGAAGAGTAAAACGGTGATCCAGATTATCAATATTTAATTCTTAGTTTTATACACCAGCAAGGATGTACACTGGCTAGGCAAGAGGGAAACAATACAATAAAATAAAATAAAATAAAATAAAATAGAAAACTCTTGGGCCTTCGTTCCATATTCTATGCCCAGAAGAGAGCGTACCAAGCGCTACCATTAAGCACATTTGATGACTTTGCAGCATCAAGATCCATCCCATGTTGGTATATGTGTACCAAAGGTGCCATTGCCTCTACGAACACGTGTGGAATCCATTAGTTTGAGACCTAAACCCAACACCGTCGCTTTAATCCCAGCCCCTATTGCGTTGGCAATCATCCACGCACCTTAGTCACCTTTTCTTTAAAGGTATTTGCCCATTTGAGTCCAATCCATAGCTACATGTCTGGCTATTGAACAGCATGTGCAGAAAGGAAATGTACAGTAAGCGTATGTATGTAAGGCTTGGTCGAATTTCATACTGATAATAGACAGAGCGTATCTTTATATATTTCTTTTTTTACCTGATATACCTGTGCATGGCTGATGACCTCGCCATATGACTTGTGACAATATACCAGTGCAACCCATAACTAGCATAACTCTGTATAAGTACAGACACGATCCCCACTGCAGCAATTCTTCACAAAGTGCTTTGAATAGGCATCTAAGCTTGTCTTGAGCTCTGCTCTGCACCCTTTCCAGCACACTTCTCCAGCAGGAGCAGAGTCAGGAGCGGGATCAGGAACAGGATAGTCACAAGGCATTGCCAAGGTCTCTTTTTGAGCGGAAAAGAAAAACAAAAGCTTGACAATGCCTCAGGTAAATGTTTTTTTATTTTTATTTTTGCTTTTCGTTCACTCTATTTAGATGGGATCTTCGGGCAGCTCAGGGATATGACTTTAATGAATGCTTACTAATACTAACTTATCATTATTAGATGATTTTAGGAGCTGGATGCGTCAGGACGCCTGACGTAGCTTAGTGTATGGCGTAGAAGCGCCATGTTGTATGACCTCTTGTCTTGCTTCTGTCTGAACCGGGCCCTCGAATCGACTACCGCTCAGAAGGTTAAGGTCAAAACAAAGGATCTGGGATACCGGCAGGGATCTGGACTGGGTCCTCCTAAGGCTCATTTCAACTAAAAGAGCTCGACTGAACAGCTCGTAGTTGGCTTGTGTCTAGCCTAGGATGAGAACCAGAGCAGATCCTAATCCCAAGTGAGAGAACGCCATTGGTCCAAGGCGAGGACTTGCCGAGGGAATGAATCCGGCAGTGGAGGGCCAAAGTCTAGGAGTTCTTGCGTGGGGGCTTTGTCCGAAAAAGCTCTGGAGTAGACGCCTCACCGGGAACACAAGCAACTCTAGGTATCGATGGCCTATTGTGAGTCTAATCTGCCTTCAAATGATAAGACACTAAGGGGTTTTGTGCGGTGCGATAAAGTATTTTCGTTAGGATTGGCAAATAAAATAGACCTACCTTTTGAAGAAGCAACATTACTAACCCAGAGCTCTAATCTTTCTCTCTCTTTTTTTTATGTTAGACTCCGGCAACAATCACAGGCTCCACAGAGGGCGTAGGAAAAAAAAAAAAAAAAAAAAAAAAAAGTTAAGAACAAAGAAGCTGTAAAAAAAAAAAAGAAACGATTGCATAAGAAAGTAAAGAAACAAGGAGAGAAAAAAAAAAAAAAAAAAAAAAAAAAAAAAAAACTCAGTAAACAGATCCAACAGCAGACCCAAAAAGTGATCTCCGGAACATACTCTACAGGCGGATCTATAAAGCAAACTCAACAAATGGCTCCAAGGTCAATCCAAAAAAAAAAAAAAGAAAAAAGAAAAAAACACACACTTCCAGACAACGCATTCGAACCAAGCGACAGCGGCTGCAATCAAACCAAAACAACAGCGATTGCCTCAACCACAGCCCGCCAAAACCTTCCAAACCAAAGCTGGTTAAAGACTAAGAGGATTCACCTACCAAAAACTACCAAGGTCACTCAATCAAGGCATCGCTAAAATAACATAATAGTAATAAAAGTACCTCGGAGGCAGTCAGGTCATTTGCATAGGTCAACCATCTCGAGTTCTAAAAAACAAAGACAAGAGTTTCTTGGCTAAGAGCGCTGTAGCATAGATAAATCATAAATCCAAATATGGCAGTTTCTTGTCCCATGTCTGGGACCCTGGTTGTAATGAAAGTAGTTAAACAATCTGTTAAGGCACTTTTGCAGGTGCGTTTTAGAGAAATCAGTCCTTTTCTTTCCCTTATATCTGACCAGTTCGTACCAAAGTCCAGGTTGCTTAGATACTGCGATTGCAGTTTATAGAATTAACTTTATTCTTGAGGCAGCGATGTAAAGAAAGCGGTAAATCCATATGGGAAAGTATTATTTTCGCAGCTTATTCTTCGAGTGGTGTGCCAACCAACAACGCCTTTATACGGGAAAATACTACAAAGCTGGAGCTACCGAGCCCTAGCATCGCTAACCAAAATGGTGAATATCGAAGCAAGAGCAGTAATATAATTGTAGTCTATTATAGTATCATTTAGCTAATCTCATAGATGCCTATTCAAAGCACTTTGTGAAAGGGATCGTGTCTGTACTTATACAGAGTTATGCTAGTTATGGGTTGCACTGGTATATTGTCACAAGTCATATGGCGAGGTCATCAGCCATGCACAGGTATATCAGGTAAAAAAAGAAATATATAAAGATGCGCTCTGTCTATCATATTTTGTCTGTCACAGCGCAGTGAAGGCGCTATCTTTGGCGTATCTATCCTTATGATTTCCTTCTCTTTCCACAACCATTCAAATTATCCTACAAGAGCTATCAATCGACGGATGACTATCTGCAAAGCCATGCCAAAAAACATACACAAAGGGCCAATCTAATATCTAACTCTTACATTTTACTTCACTAATCAAGGAATGGTTTGGATGACTACACTCGTCGGGAGCACTATAGTAAACTTCCACAAAGTTCTTCCTTTACATTCTAAATTGATATACAATTTTATTCTTTGCTAGTTCTTCCTCTGTTACTGCACGTCAATTATTTATATCACATACCAACTTTCATTAGTATCCAAATTCTCCTTCTTCTGGGTCTGGCGTTGGTGGCAAGAACTCCTCTCCAGGACACAGCCTCTCAAACACTACTCTTGCTTCCTCAGTGGCTGCCTCAAAGTCTAAGCTATGGTTCATAGGTTTCAGCACTGTAATATTCTCAGGAAGAGGTGTCAAATTCTCAGATCCAATTGGATAAGGGACACGAGGCCACGATGTCGTGCGCTTATAAAACAATGAGAACAATGCTCGTGGCGCCACTGTTGACACAGTTGACAGCGCTGAGGATGATTTAGAATTTTGAGGAGCTTTGGTTGACAGCGCCTTGCTGGGGGATTCAGTGTTTGGCGACGACGACGCTGGTGCTGTAGAGCCAGCAGCTACAGGATTATTATTCTCAATCTCTTCAAATAGCTTCTTCTCAGCCTTGAGGATCTCTTCATGCACCTGATCCATATCCAATTCCTGATCTAAGCTCATTCTTGGCTGAGCTTCCTCAACTGCCGATCCACCGGCAGGATTGGCTGCTGTTGCTGAGGCAGCATTTGCCTCAGATTCAGATGCGGAGGCAGATGAGGGAGCTTTTAGGGATAATGGATCTCCAGGGATGTGTACAAGTTTTCTGATCGCAGCAGTCAGTTCTTCCTTGGCTGTTCCATCTGGTGTGTCTGATTCTGCCCAGAAGTAGAGGATATCTATGTAAACGAAGCATAATTGAACTTTTAATGACTTGATAGCAAATACGAGCATTCCCAAACTAAAAGAGTATGTCAAAGTAGAAATAAAGCTTACAGCGGTCAGTAGGACAGGACATAGTGCCGCCACACAATTGCAACACAGATATGGTGTGTTCATTCTTGCGGGCAGGTGTTTCTCCTGCGTTGAGGACTAAAGATCCCATTGGGAACAGCGTCTTGCAGAGAGTTGTTTCCCCAAACGCAGAGCGATCCGTGACCAAGATACAGTGAGAAACGTAGGATTTGTTCAGGCTTTGAGCATATACAAACAGGCGCATAAATGATGAAAACCAAGATATCAATAAAAAAATAAATTGATGAGTCCATAGCGTATGTCATTATCAGAGTCAATGAAACAATGGTCAAGCGTTAGATGCTTACGTTCTCGCCTCAATGTACGCATCCATGTCTCTGGAAAGGTATTCGCGTGTACAAATCAACTGGTTGGCCTGCAGGGCTTGGCCTGTGTGATCAACAACGGATTTCCATTGATTCGTGTTCCTATCCACGTTATGTTTATCCAGTTCATGTTGCAACATGTAGATTCCGCCATAGACTGCAGATACTCTGCAATACAAAAAATGTATGAGTGAGGTGTCATGATGTCAATCGAGAAATGAGGTCCTCGAGGTAAATGGACCTCCGAAGGAATTAAGGCGACTATTACACACAAACTATGATGTAAACTAGTTATATACCTGCAGAATGCTTGAGCAAGCTCGCTGCCAACACCATAAAGAGGACACAAATATGCCGAGTTACCGTAACGTCCCAATGACTGAAGATAGACTTTAACGGACTTGAGGCCGTCAGTGGTCGTGGCTACAGAAGATAAAAGCCAGGCACCATGCTGATTAGTATTTAAAACGTCAAAAGAAGCGAGTGGTAAATAACACAAACATAGGAAAAGCGAATTCTAATACCTTCATCATTTCCATCAAATCCAATGGCATAAACAACGGCCGTCAGAACTTTGTCTGACAATCCGTAGGCGTTCTGGACAAATTGAGTAAATGGCGCATCCTTATAATCTATATGCATTCAACATACCACAAGGTGTTAGTCGTCCAACACACTAAATAACATTTATAGCATATCCTCTTATAGGAACAGATATGTTCAGAAAAAAAAAAATACCTCTCCAAACCTCCTTCTGGTTTTCGTAGTCGACAGCAAACTGTAAAAACCTCATCAACTGTCTCTTTTCCTTCAAGGATAATGCTTTCGAGACAAAGACATCCTCTTTGGATGTAGGCATCATCTCAACTTTGTCCGTAAGCGCTTCATATACAGCAGTTCGTTCCAACAGCTTGAACTCAAGGTATTTGCCAATTCCAGAGGAGATAAGCAGATTGGTCAATGATCCACGCGAGTAGAGCAACTTTGGCGAGAGATCAAAGTTGTATTTGCGAGAGGTTTTGAGGAACTCTTCGAGAGCATGAACCTGAGAGAATGATACGGATGAAAAGTTGGCTGCTGTGGCTACAGAGCCAGTACCGGATGCCCAGGAAGCTAAGATATGGATGGCTTCCTTTTCTTCCTTGGATTGTCCCTTTGACTGATATGCAGTTGTGATATGGTCACTGACAGCCTTTATGCGATCTTCTACCGACGAATCCTTGTGGGAGGCGATAACTGAAGCCAAGTCAATAACAGTATCATTGCTCTTGTCGTCTTTGTAGAGCTGTACCTCAACATGGCTATGTGCCCTAGAGACCGACTTTTCAAACTCGATCTTGTCCTTGTTATCTATGAAACAAAATCGAACAAAATCGCATGGTATACGTTCTATTGTTAAAAACTGTCAACTTATAATCGTCTTTTTTTTTTTTTTTTTTTTTTTTTCAATTGCCAGTAAACTCTATTTCTCGGAACCCGATATTTTACCATGAGTCAACGCGTTGTCGGAGAAGGTAGAAGAGATCTTGTCTGCCCAGGCTAAAAGATCGCGGAAACCGAAGGCACCGGATTCGCCACCATAGTAGTCATTCTCATCGAGATGTAACACTGTCTTTCCAGCGCGAGCAAGTGCGGCAGCTACAATGGTCTGTGTGAAGCCTGTACCAAGAATAATGGCGTCAAAGACGGTTTTGTCGAGTTTGTCTATGTCCGCCATGAATGAGTACGAGTAATGGAGAGGTTTCTTATTGGCAGTGGGAGAATATGATGTGGTTTTGTTATTAGAAAGGTGTGGTGCTGGAGTTAATAGAGCCGAGATAGGATATGAGTTGCAAGCAAGAGTGGCCTGAACGCTTTTCTGGTGTTGTTGTTGCTCAATCTGCAACAAGGACGAGGAAAGAGGTACTGTATGGAAAAAAAAAAAAAAAAAAAAAAAGAATTCAGAAAATGAGAAGAGAGAGCATTGATGCAGACAAAAGCATTACAGGTGTCGTGGGAGGAATGAAGTTGAGTCCAATAGTGGCTGAACTAATCATGCAGGCATGAAAGTGAGTGTTACAAAAATTTCAAAGCTTACAGTTACTCGTGTCATGCAGTCCACGTGCTGTTGATAGCTCAGGCACGTTGGATGCTAGACTGGAGGAAGAGTTGGCACGAGACAACGTTGCTGGCGTACTACTGACGCCGGGGAAAACAAACGTGCAGGTAGAAGCCGATGAAGCCGTTGTTGCTGAGGCTGATGTAGGGGTGGAATGAGAATGGGAATGAGAATGAAAATGAATTGAAGGCAGACGCAACAACATTTGAAAGTTAAAAAAAAGGGGGAAAAATAAAGAGTTCTTTGATTTGATCTGTTTCTTTTAAAAGTATATACAAGGTGGATCTAAGGATGAAGGATGTTAATAAGATTGTTTATACTTTTTTTATGGCGTAAAATGTGGGGGCAACTTGGACGAGATGACGACAGTTTGAACGAGAAAGAGGTGAGAAAAAGACAAGAGGGCATCACGGATCAAAGTCTCCAGTTGCCTTCTTTTTATATCTTTCTCAGCGCACTGTTTACATTGTCTCATTAATAAAATTGGTGTGGTGTCAATTATATTTCGCATACACTGCAAAAAGGGCGAGGAGGGGTGATCGATGATGATCCTGTTTATGGAGTCATTGGCCTCATCATGGCTGACAGAGAATCCATTGCTCTCTTGGTCTCAACAATAAGAGCAAGGTATTCGTGCATCCCTGTATGAATGCCTGCTCTTTACTTTGTGTGATGTGTATAAATATTTGTGAAAGGCTATAGTTCTTATCTTTCATTTCTTTCAATGTGCGGGTGTGAACGTTAATTGCCATGCTTACTTATAATTAGCACGAAGCTCATTTCATATTTCATTACGTCTTTGCTTTTCGGCAATGCTCAAAGTGTGTATACATGGATATATATATATATATATATATATATTAATGTATTGTAGACTAGCAAGCGTCTGACGGAGATGCTCTCATCCGTTCGCCTTCCTCGTTCAAGAATGCTTGGCTCTCTGGTGCAGAGGTGTAGGTATTGACGATGTTGGCTCTCTAATATTGTTTTTCTGCTTCTATTGCCCTCTCAACGACTGTGCTTACATGACCCAACGACCCTTCGCCGGATGCTCTAATGCTCAGATCAAAGCTTACTTGGGATTTGACATCAGAGCACAACTAGCCTGTTATGTTCAATTAGAGCTGATCGCACCGCAAAAAGAACTAACTTGGTCAAGCTATAGTTCGACTGGAGATAGACCAGCTCTTTAGCCTTTAATTTTCGAACGAAAAACGGCATTCAAGAGCAACGAACTATAGAATTATTGAACTTACAGATCAATGCTCCCTATTCACTAAACCACTCGTGCATTATCAAATTTTTTAGGCAAGAGAGGAGTGTAGACTTTTCGCCTTGATATTCGATGATACCAGCATATCCACCGATGGTCATATTTCAAAATAGAACAGACATCCTATTAGCAATTAAATAGATAAAAGGTTTGTTTGAGTACTTTTGCCCTTTCATTCCAGTTTCAGGAAATCGAGCGGTGCCGAAGGCGATTCCTTAAAACTGGTGTAGAAGATAGATGATATAAGGTCTTTTGAGCAATAACAGCTCATTGAAGAAGAAATTCAATGAGTTCGACATTCTGGGATTCACTGTGAGCTACAGGACACAACAATAGGATTGAAAATAAGATGCAATTTATTTGGATGCTTAAACGATCCCATGATCCATACTCTGCCGGCATCAACTGATCTTCAATCAGCATATTAATACAGATAGGACAAGCATCAACGTATAAAGGCAGTTCTCTCCGTCTTCCTACACCGATATTGAATCTGGTTATTAGCGCATACCCATTAGAAGACATGCGTTGGTAGAGCCCATTATTGACGTGTATCTCGATCCCGTTGGACTAAACCCAAAGGTCCATTCCAAGATACCTTGCTTAAACATCTTAAAAATATCCAAAACCCAACTGATGGAAGACGAAAGTATAATCCAGGGCAAAAAAAAAAAATAAAAATAACAAGACTAAGAATAAATAGAAAATTCATTCAAACATTGCTCAATGACTGTGCGTACATGTACATAAGTCTACTCAACGGTCAATACACTCGATCTCAAGTTTGTTCCTGCAGATTGATTAGCAGAACCCCAGCAGTAGAGTTACATCAAACTGTCACCTCATGGTCGCGCGCCATGATCGGACCGCTAAGATTATATAAGAGTTGGAGAGATTTACGTGTTCCAGCTGGGCTGAGTGTAACAAGTTGCGCATTTATGACATTACATCTGTAGATATTGTATATATTATATATTTATTCGCCTTTTTTATATGAAATCTAGTAGTAGGCTACTGCTATAAGAGAGATCAACCATGGGTCTTTTGTGTCTGTTTTGCGTTTCGAAATATGGCTGAGGAAAGACTAGGGGTTGACATGAGTGTTCTTTAAAAAGAACATGGCAGAAACTGGTTCAATTGCTGAAATCTATGATCCATCCTATTAACTTGGCGTTCCTTTGCTGTCTTGCTTACATTCACATTTTCGTTCCTACTGAAGGAATCACAAATCTGCTTACTGCTGCACACCTATCCAACACAAGTCTTACTAAGATCATGTCGATCGCATTGCATCCTTGAGGCTAGGGTTGTAGATTTGAAAAGAGAGCCCATGCTTAATTTTTTCACTTTTGCACGTTACAGTTATACATTGTTTGTTTATTTATTTACAAAAACATCAATTAAAAATCCTTCCGCGGCTAATTCGATTAACAACAATAACGCCTGCATTATCCTATTGCCTTTGAACACCCAGCGTCCAGGGTATAAATTCATATATACCGAAGTGTTAATTGCATATCAATCACAACAATCATAAATATATAATAGTAGTTATGACGGTAAAATGGTAAATGGTAATGATGATGGCAATAATATTAAGAGATGTACAATAATAATAATCATACAAGTAATCACCATTGTTATGGTCCACAGTTAAAAGATCGGAACTTTCAGCAACTTTTTACGATTGAGAGCACAGACATCATTTCGTAATACAAGTTCTTGATCAAAAATAAAAAGCCTTTTTTTATTGCTTTATTTGTTTTAATAAAGCAATTGTTTAAGCATTCCTTCTCGCTTTTTGATCGAGGTTGAGGAAAAGAAACTACGCTTCAAAGCTTGCGTATCCTTTTTTTACTTGGAGCGAGCTCTCATTTTTCTTCTTTTGCGCTTGAGGCGGCGAACGCGCTTCTTCTTCCACTTGTCTCTCATCTAAATATACGTCGTGCATTGTAATGTATTTTAATGAAGGATAAAAAAAAGGTCAGTGATAAAGTTGTTGTTAGAGATTAAGTTGAGATCATGATATATTGAGAGAGGGCGAGTGATATCAATGGCTCTATAATGTAGTGCTTAATTATAATCCATAGAGATAATGATATGCTGAAGATGATTGAAATCATTGCCGCGTAGCTATCGAGTTGTTGATCTCAGTATGAGTGAGTGTGGTAAAAAAAACAAAAAAAAAAGTGCAAAGGCTTTCCATAGTTCAGATGTATAGTTGTATATCCATCGACTAATCGGATGCATCCATCAATATACAGTTGTCATGGATATGCATCCACCGCTCTTTTGTCTTGCTGATTGGCAATGCCATCGGTGAAAAGTATCATGGTGGTTCATTCATGGTGGTTCTGATGTATAAAGAGGGAATGAAAGTTTGTAACTCTTCGATTCCACTATGACCCATCCGATCTTTTTTTTTTTTTTTTTTTTTGAAGTCCTTTCTATTTCAGTGTGTGTATGATGTACCTTTGATTTGGTGTAGGAAAGAGAGAGTTTCAAATTAGGTCCTTGTGAGCGAAATCTTTTATTAAAATCCAGTCGTGTGGCTTATGTTCGTCCAAGTTTCCCAGGGTCTGGGCAGTCACTTTGGATCAAAGGTCTATTAAGAATGAAAACTCAATGTGGTGAACATAATAATATGGAAACGGATATGTTATCAAATAAAGCTGGAACTGACGCGTCTTGGGAATCTAGTTTGTTTGAATGCAAAAAAGCAGCTAGGCGTGGAAGAACTGGTCTGATTTACTCTGTTCTGCTTAGGTTCGATCTAGAAGCTTTGTAATGTACGGAGCTACCCAATGCCACATACCAATAGAGAATCCTTGTCGGTCTACAAGCTCTTTAAAATAAATACCGCGGCTCCGTTGCTGGGATGCAATTTGATATAGCTGCCAAATTTTTTTTCTTTCTAATAGAGATATCAGAACCTGAAGAGAAAGAGTGCAATATTTTGATTCCAGCACGTGCTGGAAGAAAACGGACACACGAACAGCAAGCTGCAAACGTGTTATACAATACTGACTCAAACCTTTGAGGAGGGCTCAACTATCACGCGCACCCCAGGCGCCAAGACGCCAAGCCCAAGTGCCAAGACACCAAGCCCCAACCCTATTAATTATCAGTATAAATAGTCCACTACGTTATAGCCAAATAAAGTATCCTTTGACCTTCGATTCCACCTAAGATCACCTTTGATTGTTACTATTTACATGGTAGCAAAGGTTCATCGAACCACCGACCCCGCCAGAAACCGCTTATATTTCCCTCTGATATTTTTCCCTAGATCCCTCTGATATTTTCCTAGATAAAATTTAAAAATTTACCCCTGCATTTGATTTTTTTTTTTTTTTTGCCATGGACAACCTCACCACTTCCTTGAAAGCTCTTAACCTTGATGCCAGTACCAGCCTATCCGTGCAGAACGCTGTGCAAACCTTCCTCGAATCCCGACAGGATAGTGCTTCTAGCGCTGCCGCCTTTAATGACCATGTCCGCACGGTGGCTGCTGTGATAAAACCTACCAAACCAGAACCATACGAGGGAAATGTCGACGCTGTCGCGGTCCTCAACTTCTTGGAGAACCAAGAAGAGTACTTCGAGATCATGGAGCTTAACCACTCCCGTTGGGTCCGATATACCGTTGTCAACCTGAAAGGAGACGCCAAGGCATGGTGGCGAGACTCGGAAATGACAATTGATACACCATGGGACACTTTCCGAAGTAAATTCATCGAAAACTTCACACCCCCTGACACGGCTTCTTCAGCCCAGAAAGCACTGGTTCAATTAAAACAAGGTAAATCCTCAGTAGCGGAATACACTGCCAAATTCCGCCGCCTCCAACGCCTCACACCCAAACTGGAGGAATCATGGCTTGTCCTCCATTATACCTACGGCCTTGTAGAAGACACAAGCAAGGAAGTCCTCCTTCGCCAGCCTCAGACTCTCAACCAGGCCATCAAGCAGGCTACGATGATCCACAGCATTTTACATTCCTCTAGACCCCCCATCATGACAAACCAAACAAGCCAACCCACACCGACCCCGATGGACCTAGACGCAATGCAGATGATGTTCAATAACTTCCTACTACAGAGTACAAACTCCACAGGCTTAGCG